TTCCCAAAAAAAAAAAAAAAAAAAAACGATTGGAATGGAGAATGGATTAGTATGATTTATTATTCATCCAAAGGTCACACTACATTATAATTTTAAATTAGATCTCAATAGCATTATTTTTTTTATGAAACTCTTCACATTCAAGCACTTGATATATGTTGTTAAATGTTTTTTCATCAAGGTTATTGTGTCATGAACGGTAATTACCAACTCATCTACTTCAATGATAGGTCGCAAATCAATCTTTTCAAAATTAGATTACGGATGTTCACAATAACAACATTTAGACTCTACGTAGTAGTCTGTGGAATCACCCCAACGGACTATTTTTAAATTCCAAGATCTAGTGCATTTCATATGAACAGTTTAACCCTTCATTCAAGCTCATGATTTATTTTATGTTGTCATGTCGACATTCTAATGGTNGACTACGTTGCAATGAGTGTGGATCATGGTTTAGAAAGAACTAATTTTGCCTAAAACAAAACAACAAAATTGTTATCGAATGAAATTGATGCTTCCTTCCTTGTGAAGGTCACCGACATCACATTCACCATTGCATCCTTTCTCTAGGACCCATAGTTCATGTCCCCCCCCCCCCTTCCTCCCTGTAATTCTCTGGTTTTGCATTTTTATATAGTACCTTTATATTAATACCTTTTTTCCCCTCATTCAGGCCGAGATGCCTGCTGATAGTGGGTATCCTGCTTATCTGGCCTCACGTTTGGCATCCTTCTACGAGCGTGCTGGTAAAGTGAAATGTCTTGGTTCACCTGAACGTACTGGTAGTGTGACAATTGTTGGTGCTGTTTCTCCTCCTGGTGGAGATTTCTCGGATCCTGTTACATCTGCAACCCTCAGCATTGTTCAGGTAAAGATGGAAAATGATTCTTTCATGGACACATAAAAACAATTTTATCATCTTTCTACTTGCACAAGTTTTCATGTATTTTTCTCTACTTATTCTTGCAGGTTTTCTGGGGTCTGGACAAGAAGCTGGCCCAAAGGAAACACTTCCCATCTGTAAACTGGCTTATTTCCTACTCCAAGTATTCAGGGGTGCGTTCTTCATATATCCTGCTGGTGTGAATAGTGAACATCTTCTTGTCTCTGTGATTTGGATTTTTCCTCTTATGGAATCTGTCATTTGTCTTGTATATCCAGGCATTGGAGTCCTTTTATGAGAAATTCGATCCTGATTTTATTGACATCAGGACAATTGCTCGTGAGGTGCTGCAGAGAGAAGATGACCTCAACGAAATTGTCCAAGTATGTTGTTTGCTTATTTTTACTGTCTGCAGGCCATTTTCCCCAACTGTTTGAAGTCATGAATGATACAAAGGCTAAGAAGATTGCTTGAGACACGGTTTCTGTGTATTGGATTCAGTAGATTAGCTTGAGATAGGAAGTAATTTATTGCATCGTCATTCCTCAACTTCTCATCCAGTTGCCTATGTTCACGGAGGATTAGAAATTGCAGTTGCATAGAAAAAAGTTTGGTTTTGTTTATTGGGAGACTAGGTTAGGATATCAGTGGGCTAAAGCTGTGATGAAGGATAGTTTAGGATTTAACTGGAGATGTGGCATTGCATATGGCTGTTTGGACAAGGGTCTCTGAAGCTCATCCCAATAAGTTAACTGTGTTGAGTTGATTCCGTGTGTTGGTGCCTCCCTTATCAACAGACTCCAAAAGGAGTGAGCGAATGGAATGTTTTAGGGGAGACTTCCAAGATCTAGACCCACTTGTTCTCATTACTGTGATATAATAACTAATATGGATACATGCATGTCTTATTGGAAAAAAAAATATGGATACATGCATGCACTTAATCCATGGTTTCCCCTTTGCAATACTCAACAAATGCTGACACAGATAATTACGCAGAAGTTAACTAGTAATCACTGTTGAATTTGATACCATTAGATTAAGTAGTTGCTGGGTTTATCTGGCTACCACTGAAGTCCTGTGATTATTTTGCTTCCTGCAGTTGGTTGGAAAGGATGCTTTAGCGGAAACAGATAAAATTACCCTAGAAACTGCAAAGCTTTTGAGGGAGGACTATCTTGCTCAGAATGCCTTTACTCCGTGAGTACTTGCAGTACCGGTTCATTCTCTTGAAAATAAGCTTCGTTTAACTAAACTCTTTGAATTGATTTGGTGACTCCGCTTCATCTGTTTATTTTACCTGTGGTGGCAGATATGATAAATTCTGCCCTTTTTACAAGTCTGTTTGGATGATGCGCAACATTGTCCATTTCTATAATTTGGCCAACCAGGTAGATTATTGCCTGTTTCTTGCTTTTTAATTATGATTAATTCTTCACTACCCTGTCCGCGAGAGAGAGTTTCCAATTTTTTTTAAACAGAGGTCTGCACCTCTGTTATAGTAGTTTTCAGGATGATGAACCCTTATTTTCGTTTTTTCCCCTGCTTCCAATTTTGAAAGGAATCAACTTTTAAAGTACATATTGATGCCAGAGATTTCAGCATTTTACACGTTATTTTTTCAATATGACTTCACTTCTGAAGTTAGATTTCTCCATATGACTGGCTGGTTGAATTAGCTGTGGATCATTCCTCGTGTGATGTGGCTTAATGTGCAGGCCGTGGAGCGAGGAGCTGGTATGGATGGCCAGAAGATAACTTACACCCTTATTAAGCATCGGTTGGGAGATCTATTTTATCGTTTGGTGTAAGTAAATTGCAGCTGAGGACATGCTCATATCTGCCTCTTTCCTTATGTTTGTCTGATCTTGGTGCTGCAGCTCTTGATCTGCCTGCCTGTCTATTGATATTTACAGGTCTCAGAAATTTGAGGATCCTGCTGAAGGAGAGGATGCTTTAAAGGCAAAATTTGAGAAGCTTCATGAAGATCTGACAGCTGGTTTCCGCAACCTTGAGGATGAAACTCGATGATCAAAATTTTGGCCTAAATGGATTTTAGGCCCACCTACATGCGAATATTGTTTGTGGTGGGAAAAAGGGGGATATTGTGTTATTTTGTGTATGGAGGAACCAAATGAGATCAGTAGGTTTTGCATCAGGCTTGTTTGGCAATGCTGGTTTGTTCCATGCTTTATGGTTTGTGGAACTACTATGTTATTATAGTTATTATTCTGTATTTCATTATCGCTCACCTTTTTGTAGAAATACGAGAGACATCTTCTAGCGTTGTTATGTTGTTTCAGTGATTCTCTTTGGGATCTTTGTTAAAATAAGTGAATGTACACATTATTTTAGTTTCCTACAATAAGATATTTCATTTATTAACCGTTTACATGCCTTTTTGTTTGTGTTTTACATTGCATTTTTAAATGAAGATTTAGTTCTAACTGGTGCTAAGAGCCTAAGAGAGATGATGCCAACGTTCCAGAGAAGGCAGGATGGTAGTTGGTCATTCCTAGTTTGAGGTTCTCCCATGTTAGTTGGGGCAGGCCGGGGGGTCTATTAAATTTTTTGGTCCTAAAAATAGATATGCGGATAGATCATTCTCCATATGCGTCGGTGATTATTGTCCGTCAGTATCACACGGTTATGTGCAGTAGATTTCCCTGCTTCGGGGCCAAAGTTAAGATTCTATTGTGTTCCGGACATTGAATACTAATGCTCTACATACAAACTCTTGACCAGATTTTGACAAGCTGAAACGTGGTCATAACATGTTGACACTTAGAACAAAAAAATGAACCATTGTGCCTACTTGCATGGAACACAAATACGCAGGCTCCCCTGCTTTAATTGCAGTGTGCTACATCAATCTTACCCCTCTACCACGTCCAAAAGGCTCAACGATAATTAATCAAAAGGCCCAACAATAATAAACAAAAGGCCAACAAGTACTACCAGGAACTGTCATACAAGGATAATTTACAGAGAGTGGGTGGTTTAATTAACTTTTCTGGAAGAAAATTAATAGAGACATAGATATTAGACGACCACAATAGCTAAACGTTTGAACACACAAACAGTGCCTCTTAATGTTTTGGGGTGAGAGTGGCAGCATACAGAAGAAAACATTCAACTGTCAATAACAAAGGACAAGTTTTATGCGCTGGGCATCAGTCTTGTATTTTTCCCACATTCAGCCAGGCCCAACTTTAGGAATGTCATAATGCTCGCTCATATTTGCCAAGTACTGGTTGAAATCCTCAATCCGATCACGGTGAGACTTATTAGCTGTCTTGGCCAGCTTATACCTGTCAATTTGCTCCCTTTGCTCCATATAGCGTCTCTCAGCAGGGGTGAGATGATCGTTATACGAAGTATTATTTCCTTCTCCATTTGATTTGTTGGCATCGTTAGTCTCTTCCTGGTCAGCATCAGTCAACTTTCCCGCACCACCTGCACCAAGTAGTGCCACTAGGATAAAAAAAAAAGAAAATACTGGAGGCATAACAGAAGGGATGTCACTCTTTATTTTGCTACACAACACAGCACAATTAGTGTGCTCAACCATCAACTGCTTCCAATTCTGGAGGGAGTTGTGAGACAGACTCAGGATAGATTGATTAAACTAGAGGCGTCACACAAATGCAATTTGACTAGTTTTAGGAAGCACCTTAGATACCAGTATTGAAGATAGAAATAAGTCTTGCCATTGCAATTTCAATCTAAATGCCGATTGAATTCAACATTGTTTCACAAAAAAAATTTACTTAATTCCTTTTGGTTTGATAAAATTTACTTGATCCATATTGTATGAAATCACGAGTCCAAAAAAGGTTGACCATGTCAATCAAAGAATTTTACTTTAGCCTGATACTTATGAGCACCCCCAGTTTAAAATCATTACCCTGAGATCTCTAGTCTCTTACCAAACACGGTTGAACCATAAAGTTCCAAAACCATCTCACCCTTTATTTTATGGAGTCACAACCATACCAATACAAAGTTATTCGCGTAACAAAGGCTTAGAACTGATACGTTAGTAGAAAAAATGATCAATAAATAAGCACAGATCTAGCGTCAACAACCAGGCCCCAATCCAGGGCCAATTGGCCCAAGCCTAGAAGCACCAGCAAAAAAAAGGCACAGAGTGGCAGCTTCACTCATCTTGTTACTCAACAATAATGGTTCGTGAAAGCTTATATGGGAACCTCTACCTCTAAAAAACAATTATGACATAAGTAAATTTCACAAGATAGAAATTTGCTCTAGATATTATCCACCATAATTCCTTTTCTAAGGCCTATCTGAAGTAATCCTCGGAGTCTCGGACCATACTTGAGTTTCAAAAAAATAAATATAATCAGAAGAATTCTCATCTGAACCATGGTTTTTTATGCCAAGATCATAACATTGATCGTCATAGCAACAGCAACTACTACAAAAAACAATGATCCTAAATTCTCACAACCTTCTTTTTATTACTATGAGATGCTCATCCTTAGATCGTAAAATGTCTTTGAAAACTTGGATTGCTCTAAAAGTTCATGACCTAGTTTTCAGTCTCTTATTATCCTTGCCCTCCAGCTGCATTCCTCAAACAATTTAGTATCTACATGATGCACCAACCAATAACTTTAGATTCAAAAGAATTGTTTAACTCCAGCGATTAGCCAGCTAAGAATGTGGTTCAAAGTATTGGCCGAAACCGATACGAGTCGGCCGAGTCATATACGACTACGACTCGGCACCTTCCGAGATACATGTTACGTATAAACTCTGAATCTTGCACGACTCGGCCGAGTTGTATCCAAGTCAATATCGAGTCATCGAGTTATTGTCACCGAATTGGCCGATACGGTTCTGCGATGGTGTGATATGACCTGAATCTGTCATTATGTTCATCATTTTTTTTAAGTCGTATCCCCCAATACCGTGCCACGACCGATATGTTTTAGAGCTCTCCTAGTCGATGGCCGATATCGCGACATTCAACCATGACTAAGAAGCATCATTAAAACTCCACCAAAACGGAGAGAAATTATGTGAAAAATATGAATCCATATTGCAAATGGAAAGTTGAGGTATACATAGTCTTCACCAGTAGATAGATCATTATTCATTAATAGTGCAATGTATGTATATAGGTATTCATGAAGATATTTTTAATTTACGTATAAAATGTCAAGCTTTTGCTGAGGAAAAACAACTAACCTTCTGAAAGCTCAGTTTCTGTAACTAGAGAAACTTGGTCGTAGTGTTTTTTGTTTTTCTTCTTTTTCTTCATCCCACCAGCTTTCACATCCAGGGCCTTTCCCTTTAGTTTCAGCTTTCCACCAACGACATTCTCATATGCTGACATTCTCCTGTCAAAATTGAAAATAACAGAAGGTTAGGGCATGGTCACTCATGTAAAACAATTTTTTGACAGTTCTCGCCAGATGGTAAGAATAAAAAATGAAGACACGTGCTTGCTTGGGGGGTGATCTGGCACGCCATTTGCAACCAATCAGCTGGTAAAACCAACCTCCTCCCCCCTAAACACCAAAGGGAAAAATAAAATCTTCATGTAACCATAAGGACAATTATAACTGGTCACTCTTTCCATATCTAAAGTTTGATAGTAGTGTTCTATATATTTGACAGAGAGCAGGAGACTGATTATTGTAATGAAAAAATGTCACCTTATTAGCACCAAAAAAGGGCCCAGTTGTTATTACTGAAGTGGTGTCCAGTGTCATAAACATGGTAAAACTTAAATAGTAATCCAAAATTCTCCTGCTAGTTTAATCAAGCAACAAACATTGTGTGTATAGTGTCATGAACATGGTAAAACTTAAATTGTAATCCAAACTTCTCCCGCTGGTTTAATCAAGCAACAAATGCTGTGTGTATACAATATTATTTTATTACTGTTCTAGTATTCCAATTATTCTTTTTTCAAAATTTTGATGCTAATACTTTAGAAAATTTTGACTTATTCTAGACGATTACAAAAGTATGCTACATCCTCGCTCTAAATTTTTGAACATGGATTCACTAATTGCTTGTAAATTCATTCCTGGGGTTCTACCCTATTTTCGTAGTAAATTCCTAATGTGACGACAATGCATATCCATCTAGGCCCTTGGAAGGAAAGGGCCAGACACAATCTTTCCGGTTAATGAATCCGAACCTATCAAGCGTTCCCCCTTCTAGCCTGTCCTATAACTCTATGGAATGGAAGTAGTGCATCAGACAAGACGGGCGGGCGATAGGTAAATCCAAGCCCATTAGCGCCTGATATATACATGGCCGGCTCAACGGTATATTCAAAAAGGCCCCAAAATTTAGAGTTCAATAATGAGATATAGATCAATGATTCAAAGTTAAAACTCATTATAATTAAGCTTAACAAAAAAACTCCTGCAACTCTCATCATATGATTTCAATTTCAGAAAAACAATTAAGACTCACGCATAGACTGTCATACAGAAATAGAGAGAGAACCTGGGATGCGTGTGGCTTGAGGCTTCGAAGAGAAGGCGGCGAGAGTCTCTGAGACTCGAAGAGGAGGGGGCACTAGGGATCAATCGACTGAGAAGAAGAAGAAGAAGAAAGAGGCGAGAGTCTTGAGACTCGAAGAGGAGGAGGCGCCAGGGATCAATCGACTGAGAAGAAGAAGAAAAAAGAAGGGAGGGTCTCTGAGACTCGGACGAGGAGGAGGAGGATGCGCTACGAATTTTAGGATTTTTGTGCACAATTAACATGTATATATTTTTTATATATATTTACGATACGAGTTTAAGTGTTACACGCTTATAAATTTTGGGAATTTGTATATAATATTTTAAATATTAGGAGTCTGAGTGATTAAATGATAAATTTCAGGGATGTAAATATAATTCTCCCTAAAAATAAATCAAACACATTTTCTGTTTTTTTCTCAAACTTGATTTTGTTTTTATTTAAATATAAAAATATCAACTAATTAAATTGTTTATTTTCATAAAGAATTCACAATAAAAAGTAATTAATATAAAAAACATTTCAATATAGTTATTATCAGAAAAAAATAAAATAATAGGTGAATGTTACATACATAAATAAGTTAAGGATCATAAAAAAATAGTAAAATAATTCAATAACAAGGAATTGCAAATGTATACCGATAGTCGATTATGTAATACCACAATTTTTATGAACAACATATAAAACAAATTAAAAAAACATAAAAAAAGTAATGAAACAATAGATTGTATCCCAAAAAGTGCGAGTCAAGCAAGAGATAAGAAAGATAAACAAAAGTGCAGATTTGTTTGTTAAAAAATGTGTATTTAGTCAAGATGATCTATATATATTTATAACTCCTATGAATTATACTGTTGAATAGTTGTACGCAAATAACATGTGTATTAAGTAACACATATGTAATGTTTAATATATCTTGAATGCTTAAATTACTAAAAAAAATAAATTATCTGACACCACGTTGTAACATTGAACATCTTTATTATGACAATACCTTATCACGATCTACACATAATTTGTCAAATTAAAAAAATGCATAAAATATAGAACAACACATATATTACATTTAATTCTTGCATATCATCCAATAATCAACTTGTCACTTAATTGGTTTCATAGACAAAGACTCGACAGTGAAGGACGAGTAGACACTATAATTGTTGCAAGATGCACAAATATTTCGATCTTTTGGATAGAATGAGCCACAACAAGGCCCGCCCTAGGGTCCAACCATTAAAATAGTCACTTAGAGTCTCAAAAATTTATGTCTCTAATTTAATTTTCAGTCTTTAGTTCAACTTCATATTATGAAATCCTTTTGAATAGACAAAGTTAAATGCCCAATATATTTCACAAGCCTATTTAAAATCTTATAAAATTTTTTAAAATGTAACAATTTCACACGTCTACGTAAAACTTATAGAAATTTTAAAATATAACAAATCTTTCTAAAAAAATATATAAAAATAACGACTTCTAGGATTAAAAGTTACAGTCTTTTTCAATTCTTTTCACTATTTTTTCCACGAGTCTCGTTGCCTGTCTTCAACTCTTTCTCTCCCTGCCACTCTCATTGTTTTTCTTTTTTGTCATTATCTCTAACTTTCTTATTGTCACTTTAAGTTTTCGTTCAATTTATTAATGTGTAACATTTTAACTTTATAATTCTACCCAATTTATTATTTGATTCCGCCCGATTTCAAAACTCCTAAAAATAAATCATACCGCAACTTATTAAAAAAATTATGATATTCCTAAAATATTAAATGAAATCTCACGTAAATTTTTTGCTTCAGACCATAATTTGTGTTGCGTCACCCTGGATATATACCCTCCACCAGAAAAGAGAGGTTGGTGGAAGCATTCGTTTCCGACACTGAAATTTAGCTTGAAGACAAGAGCATACATTAGTTGATCAGCACAAACTTTTCAATATAACCAAACCAAACAATTTTTTCTATATCACACCAAATTTTTTTTCTTGTTACATAATCAATCAAATTTTCGACAAAGGGGGAATATTTCAGAAAGGGAGGGTTGTGTAGGTCCTAGACAGAAACCTGATTGATCTTGTTTTTAGGAAGACAATTCCGTCTTTTAATCCTTCTCCCATACAATACATCAATCTTAAAGAGAAAAGTTCTTGGCACAGGAAACGTAAAATGAAAGAGTGTAAATAGGAGTATTATGTGGGTGGATGGACCTAAATCTGTGAGAGCGAATCGATGGGAGTGTTGTATCTCGTGTATGCATTTGTGTTGCAAAAAGAATAAAGGAAAGAGAAGATAGATTACTGATCAACAGCGACAACTCTTCACACAGATAGTGGCAGATTGAGGTGAGTGCAAATTCTCGACTTTGAAAAAATAAATATATATAAACAACGACGATGCTAAAAGTCTGAAAACTTTCTTTTAGAGTTAATTAAATAGATAACCATTAAATTATATCATTTATTTCAATTCAGCCTCTGAACTAATTTTTATATAAATTCAGTCCCTCAACTATGCAATTTGACCCACATCAACAACTCAACTGAGGCAAGCCAGTTTACAGTTGCCAATCTTTTTCAGGGAGGTGAGTGGTTACCAGCCGTGAGGCAATCTGATAAAATTAATAGCTAATTTAGACAGAAAGGTCACATGATTGAGAGGCTCAATTGACATAGAAATAAGCTCATGAACTTAATTAACAAAAATGATATAATATAGGGGTCATTTGTGTAGCTAACTAGTTTATGTTTCTTCAGCAGAGATACATCTATTGATTAAGCACTTCTTTTTTGGTTCATTACCATTTGATTTTTGGAAGCATTGCTCTCTGTCTGCCTTCTTTTAACTATGGTGAACTTTTATATGGTAGAATCACATTTACAAATATATAAACTCAGCGATACTTCCCTATAAATAACACTATGTTTGATACGCAGTAATGTTTTCACGAGTTAATAGAATTAAGATAGGAATAGAATTGAATGTATGTAACCTGGTCAATGTTTGGTAATAATTGGAGGTTTTTTTTTTTTGGGTTGGGGTGGTGTGGGGAGGGGAGGGGAGGGAAGGGGACTTGAACCCTTGACCTCAAGAAGGTAAAACTTTCATAAGGCAAAGAGTACTATTGGACTAAAGACCCATTTGTACAATAATTGGAGTTAAGCATTGAAATAGAATTAAAAATCCACTAAAATATTTAAATAAATAAACATTTAAAAAATCCTTAGACTCGTACCCAAACCTATACCCAGACCCTCGGACCCGACCTTGGCCCTAGGTGGTGGTGGGGGTGGTAGTAGTAGTAGTGACAAGTTAAAAGTTAAAATTTAAAATTTAAATAAATTATTTCGTTTAAAAGTGAAAATTTAAATGAGTTNTTCAGAAAGGGAGGGTTGTGTAGGTCCTAGACAGAAACCTGATTGATCTTGTTTTTAAGAAGACAATTCCGTCTCAAATTCGTCTTTTAATCCTTCTCCCATACAATACATCAATCTTAAAGAGAAAAGTTCTTGGCACAGGAAACGTAAAATGAAAGAGTGTAAATAGGAGTATTATGTGGGTGGATGGACCTAAATCTGTGAGAGCGAATCGATGGGAGTGTTGTATCTCGTGTATGCATTTGTGTTGCAAAAAGAATAAAGGAAAGAGAAGATAGATTACTGATCAACAGCGACAGCTCTTCACACAGATAGTGGCAGATTGAGGTGAGTGCAAATTCTCGACTTTGAAAAAATAAATATATATAAACAACGACGATGCTAAAAGTCTGAAAACTTTCTTTTAGAGTTAATTAAATAGATAACCATTAAATTATATCATTTATTTCAATTCAGCCTCTGAACTAATTTTTATATAAATTCAGTCCCTCAACTATGCAATTTGACCCACATCAACAACTCAACTGAGGCAAGCCAGTTTACAGTTGCCAATCTTTTTCAGGGAGGTGAGTGGTTACCAGCCGTGAGGCAATCTGATAAAATTAATAGCGAATTTAGACAGAAAGGTCACATGATTGAGAGGCTCAATTGACATAGAAATAAGCTCATGAACTTAATTAACAAAAATGATATAATATAGGGGTCATTTGTGTAGCTAACTAGTTTATGTTTCTTCAGCAGAGATACATCTATTGATTAAGCACTTCTTTTTTGGTTCATTACCATTTGATTTTTGGAAGCATTGCTCTCTGTCTGCCTTCTTTTAACTATGGTGAACTTTTATATGGTAGAATCACATTTACAAATATATAAACTCAGCGATACTTCCCTATAAATAACACTATGTTTGATACGCAGTAATGTTTTCACGAGTTAATAGAATTAAGATAGGAATAGAATTGAATGTATGTAACCTGGTCAATGTTTGGTAATAATTGGAGGTTTTTTTTTTTTGGGTTGGGGTGGTGTGGGGAGGGGAGGGGAGGGAAGGGGACTTGAACCCTTGACCTCAAGAAGGTAAAACTTTCATAAGGCAAAGAGTACTATTGGACTAAAGACCCATTTGTACAATAATTGGAGTTAAGCATTGAAATAGAATTAAAAATCCACTAAAATATTTAAATAAATAAACATTTAAAAAATCCTTAGACTCGTACCCAAACCTATACCCAGACCCTCGGACCCGACCTTGGCCCTAGGTGGTGGTGGGGGTGGTAGTAGTAGTAGTGACAAGTTAAAAGTTAAAATTTAAAATTTAAATAAATTATTTCGTTTAAAAGTGAAAATTTAAATGAGTTACCAATTTCATGTGAATTTAGAGTCATGTTTTCATATTGTATCAAAAATAGTCACCTCTACTCCCAAGGGATCAAACCTCAACCTTTAAAAGCAGAAGCTTCATGGAGTAGAAAAGCTAGGACAAGAACTGACAAACATGCCTCTACTCCCACTGCCAAACCTACCCACCAATCTCTCTAATTCTGGGAAATTTTAACAAGAAACAAGACAATGAAAACATGTAATTTGTACGTAAAATTTACTAGTGGCACAAACTGAGACTTGGGACAATAATACAAAATAATCCGTCATACAAGTTGAAAGTGAATAATAACAAACCTGATTCTATAACTACTTTCAGGTGTTTGGATGACAAGAAGATAACCAAAATAACATTTCATCGTATCACAAGAAGTTACAAGACTATATTTGAGTTATTCTTGCAAATAGTAAGGAAGAAGGCTGCAACACATTGTATATCTCACCTCATCAAGGACAAGAAAATAATCATGCCAAGACTTCGAAACTTTCATTTCAAATTATTGATAGCTCACTCCATCACCACTTATAACCTCACCGATGCAGTATACAGTACTCGCCTGTAACCATCCCCAAGAATTGTAACAACAGCTTCCTTGCTAACAACTAGAACCATCTCAATTCCCATATTAAACGTCTGCCTCATTTCAGCATCTTCTATTTTTCCAGCCTAAGGCCAATAAAAAATATTTAGTAACGACATTGATACGCAAAGACATGTATGTATGACATCCATGTCCCAATTTCGAAACAAAATTGGACAAGCAATCAAAGCTAGACAACTTGCCAAAATGTTGGTTAGTTTGGTAAAATATTCTCTTTTAAAAACTAAATTCAACCTCCAAGCAATGCAATTAATTAATGGTTGCGAAGATTCTTACCTCTTGGATCCATTTGAAAATAGGGAACCACCTAAGAGTCCTTATAAATGACAACCCCTAGGCCATTAGAAAACACTCGAGGTGCCTGTAATGTGGGCTATCCCTTTGACACCTCCCTTGCTGATAAAGTCAAGCACCTGTTTTTACCAAATCAAAAGATGAGATCAGTGCATTTCAAGCAATTAACCAAGACAACAACATTTAGAAGTTACGTGAAACAGAGGTGCGGGAAGTCCTGCTTAACATATATAACAGTGGGTGTCATCAAAGCTTCACCTAATGAAATAGAATCAAAGTTGGTCCTTCAAAGAAAGATTACTTCGAGCTAGAACCCTATAGAGATGTGTCAAAGCTATCAACAAAAGATAATGAATGACACTATATCATTTTTCCTACTTCAAAAAAAGAAGTCTGTTGAAGCATTGGCATACTTTCTAACAAGAGAGAAACCATTAGAATGAACTCCACTAGATGGCAGGCCAATGAGGACATCTCCAACCGTAATGGTTTTCCCATCAATAACTGAATCCTTCTTCATGATGCCAACAGAAAAACCACTAAAATCATACTCGCCATTTGCGTGGAAATCTGGCATCTCTGCAGTCTGCAAGGCACATTCCCAATCCACTCAGTTAAACTGAAGGAAATTTCTTTCTTCAAAAGTAACCTAATTTTTCAGATTTCTTCCCAACATATCAAGACTCAAATTCACCTTTTTTTTAGTGGAGTAACATGTACTCTCAAAATATAAACTGAAAAACACATTTCAAAGCTTCATGCTATAGTGCGCCCAAAAAAGAGAAAAAATTATATGAACCCCCAAAAATATTATACAAATTCCTCATCAAACATTTAAAATAGTATATAGGCTAATATGATTGCACAAAACGTCGTTATTTACAAGAACATTAGATTACGTAAATGGTTTATGTACCTAGCACTAGTATTCCCCCTCGTCATATTCAACAATACAAAACACATCAATAGGTTTACAATCACCGTCTTAGATTTAATAAAAGGCCATAAAAAGTAACAGAGATACCTCTCCACCTAAAATAGTGCAATCAGATTGTTGGCAACCATCAACAATGCCTTTTATAACCTGCACAAAAAAAAGGACATAAATTGACATTTCTCTCCCATATATAAACGTCTTACAATCCCATATATATGCCCTTTCACATTGTTTCCATACCTTTTCAGCAAGATCAACATCAAGGTGGCTTGTAGCATAGTAATCAAGAAAAAATAAAGGCCTTGCACCTGAAGTAACAATATCATTGACACTCGCTGCAACCTGAAAAGGAAATGTATCAGATTTCCTAACTTTAGTAGCACATACACACCGCAAGATGCCCATTAACTTTACCAGATCAATCCCAATAGTCTCATGTATTCCAGTTTCAAATGCCAGCTTAAGTTTAGTTCCTACGCCATCTGTACCGGCCACAAGATAGGCCTAATCCGAGAAAAAAAAAAAGATAGGAAATCAAATTAAGAAATCGAAGACGAGCAGAAAACCACTACATAAGAAGTACTCCTCATAATCTATGTACCAAAAGAAGCCCATTGTCCATAATCTATCTCCTAATGTCCCTAAAATAAGCACTACTAGAACAAGTGGCACATGCTATAACCAATGGTAGCGGTCAATACTAAATGTAATTATGGCATTTAAGTAACAAAGTAAAACAAAATTTTGCAGAAGCTTTTGACTTGAGTAAAATTCTAGCTGAATGCATTGCAGCTATACTATTTATTGCATGAATTTCACCAAAGAGTTCATGCAATTAAAATAATGTTTGAAATGCAGATTCATCCATATTTTAAGAATTTGAGAGCCTTTAATAGAAAAAGGGGGGAAAAGGAAATGGAAGCAACAAACACAAAAAAGACCAGAGCATATGAAAATGTACCAAGGGGAAATAGCCCTCCAAGCCTCCGATCCCAGGCACCATCTTCGCAATTCTCCTAACAAGCTCTGATCCAGCATCTATGTCCACACCAGCATCCTTATATGTGAGACTGCCAGCCTTACTAGAATTCCACTGTTATTGCTGCTTGACATTGATAATGCAATGCTACTCTTCCTAGATCTTTGAGGCCCTACTCCAGAAGTTATTGATAATGGTTGCAGCCTCTTTAAGAAGGAATTAAACTTGAGTATACAATGACATGGATGGTTTATATATGATTTTTGGCAAGAAGATTTGGTGGAAGCTACAATGCATCTTGATAGCTCGGTATGGGCTCCAAATGGCGTGGTCATGGCAGGCCAAGAAGATGTAGACACCTAAAATACGAGAAGAAGAAATAAAGGGAAGTTGGCCAGCAATTATCAGATCACATATAAATTAAACATTAGTACAGTTTACAAAACATTATATTTGACAAAAGTGATAAACTATGCAAACTTGTGCATGTTAACATATCAAAGATTTCATTTTTCAGGTGCATAATAAAAAAACATTCACAACCAATGTTATTTAAGTCATAAAGCGAACCAAAGCGAACCGGTCTTCCTAAGGCCTAAGCGAGAAGCAAGCACTTCATTGAAGCGAGGCGCCCAATATAAAAAACAAACAAATATTTTTGTTTGATTAGTTGTAAATAGATTGAACTATAATATATTACTCAAACAACTAAGTAATGAAATTCAATGATCTTCTACACAAATAAATAATTGCATTTCAGTAAATCAATAAGCATTTCAGTAACTTTGGACAAAGATAAATCCAATGATATGGTTGATAATTAGTAATATACAATACCAACACAGAATTAGAGCCAAAAAAAAAAATAGAAGCAGAAGCTGGACAATAGTTTTCACAACAAAAATGGTTGATAATTAGTAACATAAACAAAGAAAAAAATAAAAATAGAGTTCCAGAATCAGAGAAAAAAAAAAAAAAAACAGAAGCAGAAGTAGAAGCAATAGAAAAAGAATCAGGATCAGAATCAGAAAAAGAAGTAGTAGTAGAAGAAGAGAATAGGAGAAGAATAAGAGAAATAGAGAAGAAGAGAGAAAAGAAGACATACTTGTTGGGACTTGTCTGTGACTCTGTTCTGTCAAAGAAGTAATAGAGAAGAAGAGAAGCATATTTGGATTGTGACAATGTTTTGTTGAAGAAGAAGAACTAAAAGAAGTAGAAAATATGAGAAGAAAAAAAGAAACACAGAAGAACCTGGTTGTTGCGAGGAGAGAAGAATCATATCTAGCGCACACACTCCCAATAAAGGAGAGACATTATTAGGTTTTGCATAAGCCATGAACTATGAACTGTTTCATCCATCAGATGATAGGATTCTGTTATGAACCCAACTGTTGATCCAAAAGACACAGGACTTATGGGGGTTTAGAGCTCATAACTATTTGATCGTAACATTCTACCACGCCTAGAACCAACGTCCACGGAGGTCCACTCTATAGACATTGGTAATCCTTTCTCGTTGGCGCCTCACTCACCTACCGATATTCAAAAAGCCGGAGCCGGGGTATGGATGTTAAGTTACCTACCAGTGTTCTCTAAAAGAATAAGAATGTGTTAGGAAGTTGGACGAGAGGTGGTGGGCCCCTATTTGACAACGGCACTAGACATGACTATGCCGACACGATGATGGTTAGATAGCCTCAGAATGGTATGTGAGACAAACAAAACTCGCCTTGTTATCAAAAGATTATCCCTTACTCCATTCCTGACTAAGGTTAGGAATAGTGGGATGGTAAAAATCAACTCTTTCCTAGAAGGTCATGAGATAGCACTATGTCTATACATAATAGTACGACATTTTAATCCAGCGTATAGGCCACCCTTCCGTGACCCAAACTCATGATGGTATCTACTCTGATACCAACTGTTATGCTCATAACTATTTCAACTTAACAGATTCAGGATCAATAAAGAAAAGTAAGTGTCAGTTACCAAAACTCTTACTAAAATAAAAATGAAAAAAAAACAAGTGGGCGAGGCTAATAGATCCAAACCCTGAAATAATGGTAAAATATAGCACAACATGATTATGATAAAATATAATAAAAATTGCAAAATAAACAATTTTTTATGATTGGACTAAATAGTCCAGAAATTTTGGCCATTGCCGTTGGTGTTGTTCCGAATTTTAACCAAAAATTTACACACCTTTAGTTCGCTGGAAAAAGGCCGAAGGATGGTGGCACAAAGGTGGGTGAGGGAGGGAAGATAGATACGACAACGAGAGACAGACAGAGTGAAGGCCAACTATTATTCTTGCTTTGTTCTGTGTTTCTCTCTGGAAAAAAGTACATACCAGTTAGGATTTTAGCTTTTCTTTATTTTTTGTTTTTTATATTTACCACTTTTTTCCCCCTCTTTCTCATTATTTAATGATAGTTTTTTTTTTATCTTTTTCCTTTTTTTTATTCAATTATTTTTTATTTCTTCTTTTCTTTCTCTATTTAGTTTAATATTTTTTTAGTACCAGAAATTTGTTCACGCCCCTCATGCATGCATATTTCTAAGTATTTATTTTTTGATGTAGTATCATCGTTATATTTAATATTTTTTCTTATTCGGAATATGACTTGATCCCGAAATATAGGTGGAGGATAAAAACTAGTTTGTCACTGTTAACAATACGAAGGTTTTAAATAGAAATGTTAAATAGGCGAGCTTGACAAGTCTTGATATGCTCAGGCTCGACTTGTAGTTTTGAAGGGGGTGAAGTGGCCGGAATCAGAAGTGGTTTGGCCCGGACATCAACCAAGCAAAGAGATTGGGTTAATGGGTTATTGGTTTAACTGTTGGATTGGACCGTTAAAATAGTAAAAAAATAATAAATAATTATAAATAATAATAAATAGGTTAAAAAATTACAATTATTTTCTGATATGAGCATCCAAAACCAAAAAACCACCAATACAAAAACCCAACTAGTAACAAAATCCCATTCCATAACATCAAAGACCACCATATATCTAGATTCAAGTTTAAAATTTTCTAGCAACAACATCTTAATATTATTAAAAATATAGATTAAGTTTACAAATCTCTTACATCAACACATGAAAATAATCAAACATAGAGCCCATAATTCTAGGTTTTTCAGTGGCTTCATCACCATCACAATTACAATCACAATCAACTTTGGATTTTCAACAATGCAAAGGATAAGAAAACCAATGTATGAAAGATCAAAGCTTCATTTAATGTATAAAATATAGCATTATCAATTATCAAAGATGCAATGTATACAAAATACAAATCAAAAATCAGATATAGCAGAGTCATACACCAAGAGTCAAAGAGTAGATAGATCGAGAGAGAGTATGACAGTACCTGCTGCTAGTTCCTGCTGGTCGTCGTCGATGCCTCGATGGAGCTTTGAAGCAGCTTTCTCCTTCGAAATCGAAAGTTCCTTCCACCTCGAGTCTTCGATCGACTCCCTTACTGGATGGCTTACTCCCTTTTGTGCTCGTAGTGCACACTACTGACGAGTGCAGAGACCAGAGAGAGAGAGGAGGAGGCTCCGGCTCCAGTCGTCCACCACTCCACCGATTGCCAAGAAGGAGGTTGAGGCTGGAAACAATTCAGGGCAAAATGCCCCAAAGAGCCAATATTCTTTGTTTATGTGGAACTGACCTTTAAACTTGAGCAATATTGCTGAAGCTTTGATTGTATACCTGAACCTCTAAAGTTGTCCAAACCACATTCCAGCGAGCGGGCAGATTATTTGCAAGCCTTTCCCATTTGATTAAGTTAAAAAGGCTTTATTGTCATTTATAAGGAGGAAAAATGCTTATAACAATTGTCTTCTTGAAATCTACCTAAAATATCGAGGAGACGCACACAAAAAAATTCACGACCGACAAATAAGATAAAAAATACAAATTTTAAGGAAGAGAGAGAGAATTGTTGTAACGGCGAGAGTGAAAGATTTTCAAGTTTAATATGTCATTAATTTTAAGGGATAAGAAGGTAATACTTTCATTGTTGGAGAGTATAATTAGACAAAAAATATTTTTCAAGTATATTGACACTTTAAAATAATAAGATAAGATTTTTATTTTAAGAAATTAAGTAATTTAAATTACTGAGTTGATAAAGACACTACAACTGCCCCATCATCAAATTATTTATTTAAATCTAAACATTAACTCTCAATAGCATTACCCAAATATTATACCCATGTGTTACTCCTGAGTTGTCCAAGTTAGGGTTTGTCTGTGCTACGTCAATTATCATTTTGTCACCTGTCCCATTAATAGCTATCGGTGAGCGCAAGGACTTAACGAACAATGGTCAAGACCAAAAGTCCAGAGCCTGGTGGAGAGAAACCCAAGAACTTTCAGCTGATTGGGAGCTGAATGGTTGACCCGATGACCGTTAGGTTTCACCTACAATTCAAAAACTCCCGGCAAAGTACATTTGCATAACTCAACAACATATCTCTCGCGCACACACACACACGCACACAAAACACAGAAGAGAGAGGGAGAGTTGTTTGAGGATGAAGAGTAGTTATGGATCGCCATCATCGTCTCCTCCAAGTCCTCCATCCCCTCTTCCTGTGAGTGTAGGACCTGGAAATCAAACCTATTTCTTCTCTTCATCTCCATCTCCATCTCCGTCTCCATCACCGCCCTTTTCGCCGCCTCCTTCAAGCCATACATCGGCAGAAAACCTCCCTTTTCTACACGAAAAGCCGCCAAGTCCAAAGAGACCACCATTGGCATTTTCTTTGGATCATCCACATGATCAATTGGATTCGAAAACCTCCTGCCTACAAGACTTGTAAGTCTCTCTCTCTCCCTCTCCCTCTCCCTCTCCCTCAAGTTAGTCAACTATTAAGGCTGTTTTGACTGTTTGTTGCAGAACTGGGCAATGTTACTTTTTGCTATCACTTTATCCCAGTTCTCCAACTACCAGTCAGTCAAATACATTACTACCCCGGTAAGAACAAGGGAAAAATATATTTTTGGCCCTCAAATTATATATTTAGTGTTTTTTTGGTTATTAATTTTTTAATTGTTTCTATTTGGTCCCTAAGTTTTTTAATTTATATATAAGTGGTCCAATTTCAAAAATCGTCAAAAGCTCATTCACGATTCTGATTATGCACTAATCACATGATTTTTTTATTTTGTGTCTATTTAGTCTCAAAAATTTCTAATTTTTGTTTATTGGTCCCTATAGTGCCAAATTAGCTCTCACGTGATTGGTGCGATACCAGAGCTGTTAACGATTTTTTTATGGACGTTTAAGATTGGATTAAATTGGAGGCCAAATAAATATTACACACATACATTGAAGATTAAAAATATATGTTATCCTAAGAACAATCTATAATAAATTGAACCTAGATTTTCTCAATTTTTTAATTTTTTTTTTAATTTTTCTCAATGAAAATCAAACTGTCTTATATGATGAAAAATTAACATTCTACTCTACAATTCACGACGGACTATCATGGAGAGAAAGTGTGTGAAAAGAAATCTAAATCTCTAACGGTAAAAAATTGTTATGAAATCAAGTTGTTGGCTTAGTGACTATCTTATGGTGGGTTGGACATTAAGTGATTAGCCCACGTTCATGAAGGAAATGAAGATTACTAGCCACAAAGCACACCTTCCCATCCCCAGATATCCTTCAATATACTCCCTCATTTTTATTTTATAACAGATTATTCACTTTGTTTTTTTTTTTTTTTTTTTGTTTAACGAGTCTTCGGGACGGTGTACGCACACTTGTTTTGGCAATAAAAGGAGTTTTCAAACTGATTTGGAGATCAAAATTAAATAACTTATGGCAGTTTATATATCTTTTCAATCTCATATCTTAAATTCAAAAAATTCGGTCCTTCAATTCCTCTCTGTCTCTCTCTCTTCCCCTCGTCTATCTGTCCCTCTTTCTCTCTCTACCGATCCATTTCAAATACAGCTTCGATGGGGGCCGAGGACGAGCAGGTGGAGAAGACAACACTAATATTCACCTATGGAACCCTAAAGCATGGGTGCTCCAACCACTGCTATGATATTCATTGATTTTCAGCTTTGAGTTAAATCTGTAGTCCCTCATTTCTTCATAAAATGCAGGTTAGAATGGTTGGTAGAAAGATGCTGCAGCAACTCTTCTTGGTGTCGTTCCAAAACCTCAGAGAAAAGCGGAGGAATTGCACACAGCCAAATTAACTTAGCCTTCGAGGTTGTGAAGAAGTGACCCACAACATTTCCAATTCATTACAGACATCTGGATGAAGAACTAGTCATATAACAGATGGAGCTTTGCTGATATGGAACACAAATTGATAAGAGTTTCGTTCTGTAAAGATCAAGTTTTGTACATTTTCACATCATAGAAGTTTTCATTTCATAATTGCTCCATCGTAACCTGAAAGTCACGGGATCGAATTGTAAAAACAATCTATTTGTTTACAGAGGTATGACCGTAAACATCCAACTGTCTCCAGATCCAGATCTCGAAATGATAGGAGTCTCATGCTGTGGATAAACTCTTTTAAAAGTTTTCATTTCATGAGAGAACTTTGAGTTCCTTTGGTTTATACTTAAATGCCTTTGTAAACCATGCTAATTTATTATGCAAGATCCTTCACTATTCGAAGTAACCAGTCCCAAGCTCGAATAGTCACGTAGCTGATTAGTTTATGTAAAATTTGTCAGACCCTATGAACAAGAATCCCGAACGAAACTTGATTCATATAGCCAACCACAAAATTGAATCATGTATGTTAATCAAGAGAAACAACTGGAAAGTCGGTGCAGTTGGAAGAAAAGTTCTGGGATAGAATCGACAGTAGACTGAAGTGTCGATTGAGATGATAAGCATAGTGGAATGAAAACCGACTGTGGTGATAATAAGAGTGATATTGCTCCGAAAGGACATGGTTTGAAATGCCCCCCTGATCGTAAATTGTACACCCTAACAACATACAGAACAAGTGGTTTCATCAATAATCAGGAAAAATATTACTACCTCGTTTTCATGATGTTCTTCTTACATGGCCAAACATTCTAATACAAATAGCTGCCCCTATTCCGCATCAAACCAAACCTTCACATGGTTTAAAGGTTACAAATAAATAGATAAGTTCCACATTAAAGGTTGGGGCAATAGTATACCACATTACTGCTGGTTTTGTTGTCTCTGTTGCTGAAAGTTGGGATGGTTCTGTTGTGTGTTCTGGAGGGGTACCATACCAGGTTGTAAATTTTGTGCATTTTGTTGCATGTTTCCAAATGCTGCTTGTGAACCATGTTGTTGTTGTTGTTGTTGTTGCTGCTGCTGCTGCTGGATAGGCATCATATTGCCAGGATTCGCTGCTCCCATGTTAAACACTGAGGAGAAAAATGCCCCAACGAATTAGTCATATTATTCCTTCAACAAAACAACATTGTGCACTTAAATTAATGGAGCCAAAACGAAAGACCAGTACATGAAAAGGATGTACTTCTTACTTTGATCAGTTAGATTTTGTGAAGCAAGAGACCGATTGCCACCAGATAATCCAAACTGAGAGAAGAAGAGAATGACAAAATAAATCGTGAAATGATTAACGCAACAAGAAATAATTGAATTCCTGATTAAATTTCAAATGTGATGCTGATAAAGACTATAAGGGACCTGAATGCCCATGGTTCTAACAAAAACCTGAAGCACATGAAAATAACTGGTTTTAGCTGCATTGAGAATCCTAAAAAACAAGCTAGAGATGGAATGGCTGTGATTTGTTCAAAATACGAAGATCGTGCCAAAGCCAATCAAAAAAATTGCNAACTGGTTTTAGCTGCATTGAGAATCCTAAAAAACAAGCTAGAGATGGAATGGCTGTAATTTGTTCAAAATACGAAGATCGTGCCAAGCCAATCAAAAAAATTGTAACACAATTTTTTCAAATAGAAGATTTTACGAACCTAAACATATATATATTTGGCATCGTTAAAAAATAGTAGGTGTTTCACAAGCAAATTTTGGTGGAATTGACAACAGAGTGAACTGCATTATATAAACTAATTATGTACACCTGATTTTTCATTTCATCAAGCAGGGGAGCAGGCCAATGGAAGTTCAAGAACAAACCCCATCAATGCAGCTAACCCATTCTTACCACCCCTCTTGCAAGTCCACGAAATGGGAAAGGTTCAGAGTCATCACTATAATTACGGGTAGATCACATGGGCAAGGTTCAGGGTGGTTAAGACAGAAACCAGAACCAGCGATGTTAGACCATTTCTACCAGATGGTAAGCTGCACACAAGAATGGGATTATCATTCACTCAGAAGTCCTAAGTAATTGTCACTAAAACATAATCCAATAGGAAGTGACAGCTATCTTGACTTATGGATGTCATACTACTCATATATAGGACCCGAATGATATCCAATTTCTTGACTTATGAAGGTCATCCTACTAAGGATTCACATGAAAGCAAAAGTGATTTGTTCTTTTCTCTATAAAGGGGTCGAGTTAAAATGACAGTAAATATGAGATGACACCTCATTTGTTGAACTTGTTATCCTCATAAGGTGTTATGACCACAGCAGCTCTGTACAAAAGCAGGTAAAGCAATCAGAAAGCTAACCTGCATTCGTGGCAGAAGTGGTTGTGATGGCATCATAGCTGACATGTTTGATATCTGAAAAATTGAACAAAATTAGGACTGAGGTGCCATTGCATTCTTATCCTTCCCTACATCAACAGAAAAAAATATGTCACCCTAGAAAAATAGGTAAAGATTGCTCCACATGACAACCATCACCAAACAAAAGACAAGAAGTCTACCCTGTGTGTCTAATAAGTACTAATCATTGGTAACTCTTGCAGTACAGGTCAAAACTCACAAGGCATTTCCTCATACAGCTATTATGAAACAGGAGAGAAAACAGGCATGAAGAAAGTAAAGGGCAAAATTGAAAGCGACGTGGATATATCTGACCATCTGGGTATTTGGTGTCGTCTGGGCAGCATTAAACAATGCACTATTGGCAGGACCAGAAAACTGGTTAGCATGACGATTCAACTGATTTCCTTGGTTGAGTTGGCTTTGACTAATGCCATGCTGAATAGGTCCAGAAGGCAGCTGCCTACCTTGAAATTGCTGAGACCCCAGTTGTTGCGAGAACTGCATTTGATGCTGACTGTGTAGCTGGTGGAAGTGTAATTAGCTTAATCAGATAACTAGTAGAGAAAACTTAATTAGTCCAAGTAACATAGGCACATAAATAATAGCATCTCATAAATGATGAGTTCATGTAATGGCTAAACTCCAAATGTCATACTCTCGCTGTGTGTGTGTGTGTGTGTGTGAGAGAGAGAGAGAGAGAGAGAGAGTCTAAATAAAATTGCATGTGTCGGTTGTTAGCAGACAACATATTTTTTCGGAAGGTTGGCAGACAACATATTGATCACCGAAAAGACTGGAACAAGGATGATCACAGAGCTAGCAGCGTGGATAGATGCTTCGTTTACAAAAAATCTCAAAAATGCAAGTGTAAGAGAGCTAATCCAAATAGAAGTATATTTTAGATGAACAATGCTGCCTAAAAAATAATAGATTCACTTTATAAACTTAATGATGATATCACAAAGAATCTAAACTGGGAAATTGTAACATATTGTATGCTACCAATACATCGTTTTTTTTTTTTTTGTAGGGGGTGGGGGGGCAAGGGTAGAGATTCAGGAAAAAAATAAAAACCACCTCCGTCGTCCTTATTAAAGTGACAACAAGAGCAGCAGCAGCGTCTTTAAATTGAAGTATCAAACAGTTCCATTACTGCCGCCTTCTAACTCCACCACAATTTAATGAGATTTTGGGATTTTGTATCCTAGAACAAAATATGAACATCAATCGCAGATCCTCTTTTGTGGATCGCAGATCCTCTTTTGTGGCAGAGTCGCCCATTGTGTTTGGCTCTGATACCAATTTGATACCTTCTCTAACCAAGGATCTTGTCTAACCAAGGATCTTGTCACAGGGCGATTCACTGGCAAATCAAGTTCCAGAATCTGCTTCTTACCCTTGTTACAATTCTTTGAGCGACCTATTGTGAATTATAATCAAACTCATCAAAGGGAGCTTGACACCTTGGACCTCGTTAGAGAGAGCTCCAATCTCTATATTTATGATTAAAATTCGGCTTTAGGGTTTTTATTAATTCTAGAGTCCTTTAAATAGGACTAGTCTCCTTACAAATATAGGAAACCTATAAGTTAGGCTCCTTATAACCTAAATCACTGAAAGACCTAATTAGGAGATAAGTCTCCAACTAAGCAACAATAACGTTAAAAACTAAATAACAAAACAAAACCTAAGCCATATAATTCCAGCTACTTATTTGCCACGCCTTCTATAAGAGCAACCCACAAAGGAGTCTATAACATACATTCATACTTAATATTATTGCAACTATAACTTGATCCCAAAGAGATTTACTCATGAATATTACAAAACATATATTTACTTGACCCACTTGCACAAACAAAAAGATAAAATAAGAAAAGTTAAGTGCAGCAGGATTCATATAGGATGATAAAAAAAAAAGTGAATTGAAACAAAAATGGTAGGAGAAAATTTCTGAAATGGAATTAGCATTTGCTTATTTATTTTTTGGTTCAGTTGTAGCAGGACTGGAAGGTGGGATCAGAAGAGGAATTTCTGGAGATTCTGATGAGGTGGAGGTTAAGAATGATTGGGAGGATATGGGGCGAGTAAAATCACAGCAGATTCTCAGTGGGTCGATCACATTTCCAAAATTGGATATGGTTTTGACCATGACCTAGATTGATGTGCAACTCAAGGGTTAAAACACAGGGCATAGCTCATCAGGGAATAACACAACAAGCTAAACAAAATGCTGTTAAATGTGAGTGTGTGTACATGATGTGCCTGTGTCTGCACGAGGGGATGGGTGACTCATGGATGCATGTTGGTGGTTGTGTGCACTTGATGAACTTCTTCCTTTGAGGTTTATGAAACAAAAGCATAAAGAAAAAGTGAGCCCCATGCTAGTTCCTCATTTTACATGTGATATGCCTCAACCTCAAAATCATTTCAAATGACTATCAAATCTATACCTGTCCCAGTCCAGACATAGAAGATTGCCTGAATTGCTGTTGAGCAAGGAGCTGCTGTTGATGCTGTGGTAATTGCATCATTTTCTGCCTTTGTTGGTGCTGTTGTTGCTGATGTTGTTGCTGTTGCTGTTGCTGCTGCTGCTGCTGATGTTGTTGCTGTTGCTGTTGCTGCTGCTGCTGCTGATGTTGCTGTTGCTGTTGCTGTTGCTGTGGTGGTTGTTGCTGAGGAGATGGTGTATTCATCATATTGGCACTAGACCTAGGCGAGTTGGCATATGGCAGAGGAGAGGCTGTTGTATTATCAAAGGAGGTTGTTCCAGTAGCACCAGAAGGAGAAGCCACCGCTCTTCCGATTAGTTGTGCTCCAGAACCCTACTTTAGAATTTTGCGTAAGAGCGCATAAACAAGTAGCACTATATAAAGAGCCATGTAAAATAGGACACATACTAAACAGAGTAGTAATGAATTCCCCTTATTAAATAAAAGGATGGAGTATATTAAGGAAAATCCCTATAACCAACTGAGTGAGAACACACCTAAAAAGGACCAGTACTGCATTGATTGCACGAAAAGCCATGTAATCTTTAGCTAGATCTCAATACACATGAACCAGCATGATGCATCCAAGTGTAGAGTGTAGACACAAGAACAGTCTATAAGAACTTAACCACCTTGCAATTTTTGTTATAATTCCAACTCACTCTCATCAATGAAATGAATGGTAAAAAATGGAGGTAGTCAGATAAAAAGAGGAAATGTGAAGGAGGCAGAAAGTGATCAAAGAGTAAAGAAATGCTTATTCTCATAAAACTTGCATGGGCAATGAGAAACAAGATAATAATTAGTGAAAATAAGGGTACAGAAACTGCACATTTTGCGCCGTTAAGAGCAAGACTATTACTTTATTCTCACAACTATTTTTGAAAAAGCTTAGGAAGTACATTTATAAGGTTATTTTTCATTTGACAGTATATTTTTAAGGTGNTGAAAATAAGGGTACAGAAACTGCACATTTTGCGCCGTTAAGAGCAAGACTATTACTCTATTCTCACAACTATTTTTGAAAAAGCTTAGGAAGTACATTTATAAGGTTATTTTTCATTTGACAGTATATTTTTAAGGTGGGGAACTAGTGATCTAACCTGTAACAAAGTTCCTTGACTGTTGGTGTTGTTTGATGACAGGGGAGGAGTATTTTTCAGGTACATGCCTGAAACAAAGGTTTCAAATGCCACCTTATTGGCATTAAGGTACAGATCTTTAGTGAAAACTAGACTAAATACTCATGCTTTTCCACAACTTATAAACCTTACCAGATGTATCAGCAAAAGTCTGGGCACTGTCACCCACAGGGAGCACATCTACAAGATGCAACGGAAGTGCAGATCCATTCTGCCTTTGGTCTCCAGGTATTCGTAACCCTGCACTCAGATGCCACTTCTGTGATGTCAGGAACACAATAAGCATATGCAAAGACTAGCAAATTCATGTTATTACAGATTGGTCAGAGTTAACTGCCGCATTCAGAAGCCTAAAAGGGATGTCGGACTAACACAACTAAAACCCATTTTTACTTCAGGCAAAAGGCGTCTGTAGTGATTTTCGGCCCTCTATCAGCCATTTTTATTGCCTTAAATTTGTAGTGCTTTAGAATGACACCTTCACCATGATTCACAGCACTCCGAAGTAAATTCTCTTGTTCGTGGATTTTTGCAGCTTGAGCTTTGTCCAAAGTAGGGAGGATTGTTGGCCCTTGTCGAGTACCAAAATAGGCTTTGCGAGTATCAGCTATGACCTTTTCAGCACTTTCACAGGCTGCCGCGATCATATCAATTCTAGTCTGCAAACAACAAGAAAGTGCATGTTTGAGCGCAAATATACAGGATAAAAGAAAATTACCTGCCCCAGTATCAATTATTCACCTTTAACTTCTCAATTTGTGCAGATACTGGCAGGTTTTGCATCCCTTGTAACAACTGCTCTCTCTTGGCATTGTCATCCATTTCCATCTCAGGCAATAGTTTTGATGACAACATAACGGGTAAAACTGTTTCCATAGAATCCCATTTATTACATATGGCTTACCCAAACTGGGTGTTCAAACATATATTGACAGTACACATTGAGAATGTAGTAAATTTGTCTACTTTCTTTCTAATATGAACTTTCAGGTGCCACTTTGGGTATTCAAGCTGCTACTGAAAACCGTGAAAGAAGGATCAAAGTAAAACTGGGGCTGACAAACTGCCACTGGAAGGAAGGCACATTTGACAAATCACATAAAAACCACAACAAAGCTCACACTGTTGCTGATTGTCCTACCTTTATAGACACTACTTAACACCACCTTTGGGAAGCATTAGCAATCCACAGATTCAACACCGTCCCATTGGGGACAAGCAAAGGAAAAAGGTGAAATGAATTGTTCAATGAGTTAACTCTGTATTGGGCTGCGGATTGAGTAAGTCTGTCACAATATATCACTAAATAGACAAGGATCCAAGCTCTGTGTATGTGTGTGTGTGTCACAAACAACCTAGCATACGCAAACTTACAAGCACAGGCACAACAGAGCAAACAAGGATTTTTGCAGGCACACGTCTATAGGCTCTTGTGAAGGGCGACTTAGTCTACTATTTTTTGATGATATCTTATGCACAAAGGCCCATTACTGTCGTTTACCATACAAGTTTATGTGACAATGCTTCCATGCTCTATCTTAATGTGTTTAACAAAAACTTATAATGCTGAATATATATAAATTTGCAGCTACACATTGAAAGAGGAGTCTCTCCACAGTTCAAAACTTCAAATGGGTGTCGTTCTCGACCCCCTCCCCTTGTGAAATCTTCGTTTTATATTTACTTAATGGACTTCTTTATAGTCATAGTGTATACAGAGTGAGGTGTGTAGACAAGTTTCACGCAAAAATTATGAAACTAATATTTCAGAGTATCTACTAAGCTTAGATAGTTCTATTTATGTAAACGATATTAAGCCTGAGATTTTCTAAAACTCTTATGTTAGCATATCTGCTATGCATGGATGACCCAATTTTATTTGACTTGACTTTCTATTCTAATAAAATTCTGGATTCTGAACATCAGACATTGTTAAGTCACATTTGCATTAGAAACTTCTAAAAAAAAGATGAGAAAAAGGAGCAATGCTAAATAGGATAATCACGTGGACTCTTCCACCACCCTTAAACAGAAGGACAATGGGAAAGAGAGGAGCAACTGCTGCAGCCAGCCTAAACTACATGTAAATGTTGTTGCTAGCTATTGNTTCCACCACCCTTAAACAGAAGGACAATGGGAAAGAGAGGAGCAACTGCTGCAGCCACCCTAAACTATCAAAGTTCCNTATTGTTTCAGTTTTCACAACCAGCCATCATTATCAAAGTTCAAATGTCAAGTAAAGCATGACACAAGCTGAGATATAAACTAACAAAACACTGGTAAAATTTCGCACATAAAATTTCTTTGCAGATGATTTTGGGTGGATCTAGAAAGAGCAGAGAGGGGGANGTAAAATTTCGCACATAAAATTTCTTTGCAGATGATTTTGGGTGGATCTAGAAAGAGTAGAGAGGGGGGGGTTGCTGAATATATGATAATCTAGTGGACTCTTTCTTCCCACTCCGAAAGGAGATAGAGGCAATTGAGCTAGTCCAAAACTAGTGAAAATGCTATTACTTGCAAGTGTTACAGTTGCCGTCACTAGCCATCATTACAAAGTTCAGTGGCACCAGTAGTATTGTCGANTGCTATTACTTGCAAGTGTTACAGTTGCCGTCACTAGCCATCATTACAAAGTTCAGTGGCACCAGTAGTATACATTTTCGATCAATAATTCAAGATTTTCAAAAAGATTGTGACAAGATTCTCAGACCAATAATTCAAGATTTTCAAGATTGTGACAAGACTCCACTTGGAGCACTGTTTCAAGATTCCTTCATTATGCAGTTATATGTCGACAATCAAATTGGAAAAAACAATACGACTAGTCAAAAGAAGTCATGAGTGTGTCTCAAGAAATATCGATGTATTATTGTATCGAGCCTTCCTCCTCAAATATAAAAGGAAAGTTCTATGAAGAACAAAGGGCAGAGTTTGATAGAGTTTGAGTTAATATTGTGAGATTTGTAAACATGTCCTCTAGCCTTCTTTGTTCAATGAGTGTAATATTTCCGTTTCCAATTGTAATGCTTGTCATCTATCAGTAAATTCCAATTTAAAGTTTTCAATTCAAAGCATTGTAAGTTCAATTTTCTATCTTTCTCAATTACTCGCTTTGTTATTTTCATACTTGTGTTTTATTATGATGGGCACAACCCCTTGACTCCTGCAGGCTACGTTCGAATTAAACGAGAGTAAGAGTTTTTCCCCGAGAGAACAACCTGACTACTAGAAGGGAGAAGAACCCTTGCCTAGCTAACAGAGTTCACAAGGAACCGACTTCAGTTAGTGAAGCGAGGGCTCAAACATAAAACCATATCTTCCAGCATAATCTGACTAAACTGAGTGAGGATTAGACTTTNCGAGGGCTCAAACATAAAACCATATCTTCCAGCATAATCTGACTAAACTGAGTGAGGTATAAACAGATTATATCATAGCTTGTGTGGTGGCGATTAGAAGGGATGGCAAGAGCTAGTTTCCTTGCTTGCTTGCCGGATAAGAAGGATTAGACTTTAGACCACTAATGAACTATAACAAGCTGAGTAGTGTAGTACTAAAGCATTGAGTGACTCTTGGCGGCCAACAGTGATAGGCACAATTACTTTGACTACTCTATTCCTACGAAACGGGAACGACGACAGAGTAAAACTAGGCTGAACACTCAGTAGTAGAAGTCTCCGAATGAAATCTCTCATTTCCGTGCCGGGCAGGTTTCTAAACTGGGGATAAAGGAGGCGAACCAATCTTTTCTGATTTCTTCAATAGCAGAAGTTTTTTTAGGGGGTAGACAGGGTGTTCTAGTGTTCTTTCCTTCTGTTGAAAGATGAGATATTACTCCTTGCTGTTGCTAGGGCTGTTTCTATATCATATCTTTTTTTTTTCTTGTTCAGCTGAAAAAAAGGCTTGCCCTGTAATTTCTCAGCTCTAAGAAAAGCCTACGCTTGTAGTTTTTTAACTGGCTTGGGACAGAAAGTTTACTCAAGCAGTAGCAATAAGGGTATGAGAAGCGAGCTCGAACTACCACTAAAATAAGTAAGTGCAAGTGGATTCATTGTTCACCAACCCAATTCCTCTTGCTCTAAGTATATGGGACAAGTGAAGCGAAGGTAAGAGAAAGCCAAGCAAGCGCAATAAAATAGGTTAGTAAATAGGCGCCCTTAAAAGGATTTATCCTCCCATCGTTCAGTCGACAGGTACAATCCCATCTTCAAGTTCAAGAGTCCCTAAGTCCAACACCTTATACCTTATAAATAGAAGATCAGTTCACTTCATCTATTTTCTTTTTTTTAGCACCAGGAATTGTGTTTCGCCAATCTTCTCCATTGAGGCTATAGCAGCAAAAGGGAATGGTACGAGATCGGGATCGAGTGGATCTACGGCTCAGTAATGGAGTACCGCATACACAACCGAGGGTGATGCTCGGTGTACTGCATCACCAAGCGCAACGCATTCCGCGGCACCGCCCCCATCTCCCTCCCCGGATCCATCTTTATGCTTGGCTCTAGCCTTGTCTAGACCTCCACATCTTTGAGTTTTCGCCCCCCTAAATTGCGCTCTGTCTCGTCCATTTGAGGCCGACGGGTGCATCCATCCTTTGATTGTGAGCAAATCTCTTCGCCTTATGTTGAGTCGTAGTTCTATTTCTCAATGAGATGTGGGTTCAATTCCTGCTATGCCTCATCCTAGTAGGTGTTTGTGCCATTGGACTAGCTAAACTTGCTCTGATCTAGTGTGCGTCCACGCCTGTTCGGGCTTAGCTCTCTCTACTTTAACACTTCGTTCATTGATGGCCTAGAGTAAGACATGTCTCCTTAATGCACAAGCCAGTTAGAAGGATATGAACTATTACTGAACCGGCATTCGAGACGAAAGGAACGAAAGCAAGCAACATGAGTATGCTACTTCTTGCGAGAATGCATTCTAATGGTTTGTCATGTTCCTACTCCAACTCTTGCATGAATGGCCCTCCCTACTACAAACTTTGCTCGAAAAATCGGTAAGAAGCAAGAAGAGAAGAGAAGTACTTCACTTAGCCTTTCTCTAGTAGTTCTTCTCNCGAAAGGAACGAAAGCAAGCAACATGAGTATGCTACTTCTTGCGAGAATGCATTCTATTGGTTTGTCATGTTCCTACTCCAACTCTTGCAAGAATGGCCCTCCCTACTACAAACTTTGCTCGAAAAATCGGTAAGAAGCAAGAAGAGAAGAGAAGTAGTTCACTTAGCCTTTCTCTAGTAGTTCTTCTTCTCCTTCTTCACTACTCTTCGCTTGACTTGAGTTGGAAAAAGTCATTCATATTTCTCCCCATAATGCTTGTGTTCCTTTACTGAACGGAAGGAACAGTTCTCCTACTCGCTTGCTAATGGACTATACCTGGAACAAAGGCACGGATTATGTACCAAGTCTTTCCTATTATCCTAGTCTCGGAGTTGTCAGCTCCTTCACTTTGGTTTTAGCCTCTTTCCCCATACTATAGAAAAAGGGTNAACAGTTCTCCTACTCGCTTGCTAATGGACTATACCTGGAACAAAGGCACGGATTATATACCAAGTCTTTCCTATTATCCTAGTCTCGGAGTTGTCAGCTCCTTCACTTTAGTTTTAGCCTCTTTCCCCATACTATAGAAAAAGGGCTTTCCTACTTTGCTTCTGATTTTTCGAATTATTAGGAAAGAGTTCATACAAATGATTTTGATGTTGAGGGATCGGGATTTGCTTCTTCTCTAGGACTTGCTTCAGCTTGAGCTTAAGATTTGGTTACTTCGAATGCCTTTCTTCCCCTCAGGGCTATTGGTTCTGTTCTGTTCTCTCTCTCTACCTCTTCTTTTTGACCTAACTTCCAAATCTTTTATGCCCCGCCATACCAACATAGGAAAGCTAGCTTCCCTTTTTTTGAAGTACATTTCTCAGATCAGCTCCTCGAGTCATTAGAAAGAGGGTGAAAGGCCCATTACTTCTTCATTCATGGCCTCTTTTTTTGTTTGATTGACCTCCTTTTCATATTCATTCGACATGAGGCAAAAGAGAAGTCATACAAAGAAAGGTTCTTTCATGCAATGCATAAGGGGTGGGCCTCCTATGGATTCTTCCTGAGAGGTAGAAGTATTAAACGAATGGCCATAGGAATGGACGCATCATGACATCGTAAGATGTCTCGCCCGAATGAATTAGTTGGTACCAAAAATGTTAGAAAAAGTGAACGAAAAGAGTAATAAGAAGTGAAAAGGGTAGAGACACTTCCCCGATTACAACTCGAAAGTAACAAACTCTTCCTACTCTAATAAGTGGACTTGTTTTTTCTTGAGAGACAACTTCCCAAACCATAACAAACTGGACACACCTACTCTATCTAATTAAAACTAAAGGTGAATTGTTTTGGGTTGTATTGATTTGCGTTGACTCGAGTTACCTAAGTCAGACACATTTTCCATTATTGAATAATGCCTGTAATACGAGTACCTGTGCAACAAATCAGACAGATATTGACATAACGAGTACATATATTGACCCATAAGAAAGACTAGCGAGAAAGAACACAAAGCCAACATCAATCTTAATATAACTATCACCTTGCTGAGCTTGAAGCTTTTTTTTGAATCCTAAAATGGCATGTGTAGAAAGATTTATATCCAACCTAAACTATCTATCCTTAGAAGTAGGACAAAAGAAAACCTACAAAAAGGGACACCCGAAATTCATTGAAGGACATTGTCAAGATTCTTTCATCATGCAATTCTATTTCGGACAATCAAATTGAAAAAAACAATACTAATAGTCAAAAAAACAATATTAATAGTCAATATTTCATCAATCAAATTGAAGTCATGAGTGTGTCTTAAGAAATATCGAGGCATTATTGTACTGAACCTTCCTCCTCCAATATAAAAGGAAAGTTTTGGGAAGAACAAAGGACAGAGTTTGAGTTGATATTGTGAGATTTGTAAGCATGTCCTCTAGCTTTCTTTGTTCAATAAGTGTACTATTTCCATTTCCAATGGCAATACTTGTCATCTACCAATAAATTCCAATTTCAAGTTTTCAATTCAAAGCATTTTAAGTTCAATTTTCTATCTTTCTCAATTACTTACTTTGTTATTTTCATATATGTGTTTTATTATGTTGGATTTCATATGTGCCCATAATTGCATGATGAAGGAATCTTAAAAATGTGCTCGAGTGGAGTCTTGTAACAAAAACAATCAAATTGGAAAAAACAATACAAATAGTCAAAAGAAGTCATGAGTGTGTCTCAAGAAATATCAATGTATTATTGTACCGAGCCTTCCTACTCAATATAAAAGGGAAGCACTGGAAAGAATAACACGCAGAGTTGGATAGAGTTTGAGTTGATATTGTGAGATTTGTAAACATGTACTCTAGCTTTCTTTGTTCAGTGAGTATACTATTTCCATTTCCAATTGTAATGCTTGCCATCTATCAACAAATTCCAATTTTAAGTTTTTAATTCAAAGCATTGTAAGTTATATTTTCTATCTTTCTCAATTACTGGCTTTGTTATTTTCATACTTGTGTTTTATTATATTGGCTTTCATATGTGCCGGTAGATTTGGAATCAAAGCCATCAGTCTTATAAAGATAACTTCCAACCATAGAATTAAATTCTAAATTGACCTTAAGTCGTGTAATCCTTTAAGGCAATATTAGGTAAGATGACCTTAGGAATGCCCTGTGAATATAAATCGTTGATAGTCTATAGAATTTAATTTTAGATAGAATTGGATCTTTATTTAGAAATTGGTCTTGTCGTGCCTCAGCATCCTAAAGTACTTCAAAATTTAAAATTCTAATAGAGCATTTTTTAATCCAAGTGGCATTACATTATATTTGTAATGACCAAATGGTAAAGTAAAAGTTGTTTTATATCTATCCTTTTCAACTATTTGAATTTACCAAAATCTGGATTTAATGTCAATTTTAAAAATATACATGCATTGTACAGTCTTTATAAGAAACCTTTTTTATTTGGGATTGGATACCTAATCCATGTTAAGGCATCATTAAGTGCTTTGAAATTTATTACCAATCTTGGATCCCCTCTTTCTAACTCAACAAATTTTTGTACATAAAATGCAGGACAATTCCAAGGGGAATGACTTTTGTGAATTAGATTTTTGTTAAGGAGGTCTTAAATTTCCTTTTTACAATATTCTAATAATTCTTGGTTCATTTGAATTGGGCGAGCCTTTTTAGGAATATCTCTTTCATTAGAGTCTGTGGTATATGGTAATTCAACCATGTGTTGTTTTCTATGCCAAAAGGCATTTGGTAAATCAGAACATATTTTCTTTATTATTTGGTTTTGAAACTCAATAAATTGGAACATACCAAAAGTGATAATTAATACAATACATCAAAAAGGAACTTTTGAATTATTTACAGATCATCATGTCAAGATAACTGAGCAATCGGTTCCACTGAGAAGTCAATATATTTTAATTTTTATACAAATTATTCTGAATATCTATTTGATGGTGGAAAACTTCAAACATTAACCCTTAATATTCAAACAAATGGATATGACTTTCTTCAAACGACTAATTTTCCTTTTGTTGTTATATATTGCTTACATTATATAGTAATTAAATGGAAAGACCATATAAATATTGTCTCCAGGAAATTAGGTTCAAAGAGAAGGAAGCAAGTTCATACTTGTAGCATTCTCTGCATTAACATTCTTCGGATGTACAACAAAAGCCTTGGAAACCTTCTTGATGTCTTCCACAATGTTAAAAAGCTCAAGATTCACCATTGAAAATTGCCCCAAAATATCTTGCCTACCAGCACAAAAGAAGTCGTCACAATCATCTAGAACAAACAATTGGCATTAAATCTGAACACTTATTGTGCAATTCTTACNACCATTGAAAATTGCCCCAAAATATCTTGCCTACCAGCACAAAAGAAGTCGTCACAAGCATCTAGAACAAACAATTGGCATTAAATCTGAACACTTATTGTGCAATTCTTACGCCAAATCAAAAAGCAGTCTTCAAATAAGAAATTCACAATGAAGGAAGGTGAATCCTAACCATTTGGGGACAGAATTGGTGCGAGCGATGGCGTCGAGTTCTTCGAGGATGCGAGAGATGGCTTTGAAGAGGCTGATGGCTCTAGTTTTAACGGAGTCAAGGTTGAGTTGCTGCTGGACCGCCGTGTTCAGCCTTTCCACAACCCTGGGTGGTTGTTGCTGAGGCTGAGATTGTTCTTGAGCTCCATCTACGCCTTCCATGGCTGCCATCAAACTCAAGAAACTTGGGACCTGTTTGATTTGATTTTTAAAAATAGTTTTTTGTTCGTAAATTCTAAAAACAAGGAAACGNTTGTTGCTGAGGCTGAGATTGTTCTTGAGCTCCATCTACGCCTTCCATGGCTGCCATGGCCAAGGTAGAGAAGAAAGATGCACCTTTCTATTCGCAGCCGCTATTACGAACTGCCAAGACTGATCTACGGAAGATGGATGTGAGTAGGTTGTCAAAATATAACGACACATATTTGAGTTTTTTTAACCCACTTGTTTGTCAAACAGGATTCAACATGACAGGATGTATTATTGATAAATAAATTAAATATAAAATAAAATCAATTAAAAGAATTAAATGATTTGATTGATTTATATGTGAGATATACATTATTTTTATGCACTAATTATTTTTCGTGCCTTAGACACAAAATAATAAAAAATAATAAACATATTTGTATTTATATCCAAAATCAAATCACAAATATAAAAGAGAGATAAATAAATTTAAGCATCGATTATAATGAGGGAAATAGGTGGTGGGCGACAATAGTGGTAGTAGGAGACGATAATGGTTGTGATGAGTGACAACGACTGAGGTGGCGGCGATGATGGTGACGGCTATGTCATCAATTGTGGTGGGGGTGACAACAATGGTGGGGGTGATGGGGTGGCGGCGATAGTGGTAGAGGTAATGGTAGAACGGTTTCAAACACTATTTTTTTTTAAAGTACTTATGAAAAAAAATTGTTAAAAGTATTTTTAAAAAGTCATTTCAAACACACTCTTAGAGACTTATTTTTCTTATTAAATTTAGGGTGTTAATATTAGATTTTAGATTAACTTTAAAGTAAAATTTAAAACAATCTGAACCGCGAAAAACAAAAATTATTTTGTTTATCTTTTAAAATTTGAATCGTAAGTTATTTTATATATATACACATAAAATACCAATTCCATGTAATATAATTTATTAGACATAAATAAAATATAATAAATTATTTTTCAATTAAGACCGGATACGAAGTCATCTCACCTGTCAATACTAATACACATGCCCCATGAAATATGAAAAATAACATTGCCATCCCCTAAATTTGATACGATTGACGTTAAAAATCCATTTGAGTCACCATCTAATCTAAACGACATCAAAATATTTTCATCAAAAAATTTCTAAACTATTCCTAAATAACCATCACTAAATTACCAATACCCAAGAAAACTCACATTTACGCATTCACTAATGCTATTGAGACATAATTTAAAATTTTAATATATTATGAATATTAGATTAATAGTATTAAGATTCATTGATAATTTAATATTATAACTCACCGACAATTTAATAGTCACAATGTAAAGCCCCCAAATTATATTTCAATAATAGCATTGCCATCAAACTCAAGAAACTTGGGACCTGTTTGATTTGATTTTTAAAAATAATTTTTTGTTCTTAAATTCTAAAAACAAGGAAACGTTGTTTAGTTCGGTTATTTGGTTCTTCAATTTTCGGAAAAATAGGGATGTAAAGAACAAAATATAGAAAATAAGTTGAGTTTGTTTTAGGGTGTTTTTGGAGACAAAAGAAGAAGGGAAAAATAGGAAACACGGAGAACAAAATGTTCATTAATGAGGTCTCCCTTTCGAACCCTCTTAGCAGCAAAACAGGTTCTACTATAAAAGGTATTTTTTTTTTCCTTTCCCTGTCCCTGACTCTCTCTATCTGCTTCGGCGAAACCAGACGAAACGAGAGACCACACACAAACATGGCGAAAGGGTCTTCTCCTGCAAAATTATTTTTTTTCCGACGGCTTCAAGGAAGCAAATCTGCGGTTTTACCAAATAGATCTGGGTTTCTACTTCAGATCCGGTGGCTTCAAGGAAGCAGATCTGGGTTCCTGCTTCAAATCTCTACTTTTTTCCGGCGTCTTGCTTAAGATCTCGATTTTTTTTCGACTTGTTGTTTCAGATCTGTTTTTTTCCAACATCTTGCTTTAGATTTGGATTCCAGCGCTGAAATTCTCTTCTTCTTNTAGATCTGGGTTTCTACTTCAGATCCGGTGGCTTCAAGGAAGCAGATCTGGGTTCCTGCTTCAAATCTCTACTTTTTTCCGGCGTCTTGCTTAAGATCTCGATTTTTTTTCGACTTCTTGTTTCAGATCTGTTTTTTTTCCAACATCTTGCTTTAGATTTGGATTCCAGCGCTGAAATTCTCTTCTTCTGTTTTGTTTTTTTGCATTTTATCAAATTTAATATGTTAAAAAAATTTAAATGAATTATTCAATTCAAATAAATTTTAATGTTTTCTTATCTATAAAATTATTTTTAGAATCATATAACCAAACTAATTCTTTGTATTAGAAAACACCAAAACATGTACTTTTCCAAAATTTTTCTTAAAAATTATGTTTAGATACTGTTTTTTAAGATGTAATCCAATTGAANATGTTAAAAAAATTTAAATGAATTATTCAATTCAAATAAATTTTAATGTTTTCTTATCTATAAAATTATTTTTAGAATCATATAACCAAACTAATTCTTTGTATTAGAAAACACCAAAACATGTACTTTTCCAAAATTTTTCTTTAAAATCATGTTTAGATACTGTTTTTTAACGTGCAATCCAAACACTCGAGNTAGAAAACACCAAAACATGTACTTTTCCAAAATTTTTCTTAAAAATTATGTTTAGATACTGTTTTTTAAGATGTAATCCAATTGAATTTTGGCTTTTTTCTTTTATTTGTATCGACTTGCACTCTTGGTTGTTTTGGATAGATGATTTCTAAAAGCCTTGAAATTATTCTTCTCTTTGTTGCTCTTACAATTCTCGGCTAGGCTCTAGTGTTTAGCTTTGCTTTGGTGTTTGAGTTAAGGATTCAAGAACTTTAAGTTCTTTTCACTTGAAGCTCTCGGTGGGTTTGGAGAAGAAGTTCTCCTCAGTAGGTAAACTTCTTTCTTTAGTATGTTTAAATTCTTCAAATTCCTATGAGTTTGATTGTTAGATGCTAGGGAGATGTTGGGTACGAAGGAAATGATTGTAAGGAAAGTTTGAACAGAATCGCAGGAAGAAAACTAGAAATGAACCAGCACGAGTGGTATTGTGTTAGTATAAAGACATTATGCCTAAGAATGAATCGATACAAAAGTATTGAACAGGACACTGATGAATCGATACAAGTTGTACCGGTACAAAACAATAGGTGCAGATTTTTGCACAGCCCAACTTGAGTTCTAGTGGGAGAATCGCGATTATCTTTCTAGAAAATTCTAATTGATGCACCATTTTTTTGTTGAAACCTAGATTCTTTGATCTTTCTAACTATATAGGGTACAACACTTAATTCAATTTGTGTGAAAACTGGTGACTGTCGAAAATAGACTGAAATTCTATGACTGATGAGCAGGCAATCAGCTTCATTTTTTTAGGAAAAATGAAATAACTTTTTTCACACTGGAATCTAATTTTAGCTAATGACTTATGGTTGAAAAGCTTGAAAATTCTACGTAAAGATGTCATTATTTCACTGTGTAATTCGAAAGTACATGGGAAGTTGTAACTAAGAGATTATGAGTCGATCAATCTAACCAATAAATGTCAACATGAAAATTAATATGTTTATTTGTATAATCCAATCTAATGTATTGCTTTATGGTATATTACTTGGGTAGGGGATTGAGAATGTACTAATTCAAGTATGACCAAGCATCCACACATGTGCATTTATGACAAAACGCATTTGCGGGTGATACTCATATNTTGCTTTATGGTATATTACTTGGGTAGGGGATTGAGAATGTACTAATTCAAGTATGATCAAGCATCCACACATGTGCATTTATGACAAAACGCATTTGCGGGTGATACTCATAGGTATCTTGTGACGATGTGTCTTAGGTGTGAATGCGACGACATCAACATCAGTTCTACCAAGGGATTGATTTTGAGTTTAGAGTTGAACCCAAGTTAAGTGTATTGATTCATATTGATTAAAAATTTGACTGATTATTTATTAGTTATACTTATGTATAAATGGTTAGATGTGGTTTATGGATTAAGATAGATGATTGTTTGATTGTGGGCCCCAATACTTATTATGGTTGTTATGTGCTTACCAATAGTAATGGTTATCGAGACTCTCAGACGGAAACGAGTAATCGTTAATTGTCGCCGAGACTTTTAGGTGGTATTGAATGGTAGAACATTAGTTTTCATTTTTATCATGTGAGGCTTATTTATAACTGTTTTGTGCTTATATATTTTCTTTTTATATGTCTCGAATATACTCATTGAGCATGTGGTTTGCTCACCCCCCAACAAATGTTTGGTTTCGAGTGTTCGAAATAGGAGGCAGTTTATTGAGCAGTCTGACTTGACATAAAAGGGTTGATGTCAGCTTGTACATTATTTCATGTGACATATTATATATAGTTGTTAGGATGTTTTGATGGTGTGGGCCTTAACTACAGGTGTAAACTTGATTTTGTTCATATGTTAATACCAGGTTTTTGGTTTATGAGAATAGATTTGATTATCATTGTTTAGGTGATATTAATTTGGTTTTTAAATTTTGGATGAATGAATATCAGATCAGGTCTACCCACACCCTATCTTTTTTCTCGAGATGGGGTGTGACATGAGGCATAGGAGAAGATGAATATGGGAGGTGGTGGATTTTTATAGGATGTTGGCAGTGAGATAGGGTGGAGGAAGGGGGACGAAGGACGGTGGTTTGTAACATTGGTTGAGTTGGTAACATGGTTGGAGGCAATTGGGTGGGCATGTTGGTTGGCTGGAGGTGGGATAGTGGCTTTGAGGAAGATGAAGGGTAGAGAAAGTGGTGGGACTATTTATAAGTTTAATGTTATTTGGATATGAATTGGGGCAATTATGTGGTTGGAATAAGTTGTCCAGGAGTTAAGTTATTTAGTTTATTAGTTAGAGTTAATTAATCTTTTCAATATTTCTGTTTGTGCCGTTTGCAAACTGTTGTTGAGAGGAGGTGATAGTATAAATTACCACACCTGAGGTGGGTTGTATGTATCAATTACAAATCTCAGGGGGAACTAATGTAATTTACCATTTGTTTGGTTATACAGATTTAAATCATTTATAGTACACTTATAAATTGTAAGTCTCAATTTATATGTATCGATGAGTCCATATGTATTGATGAGTCCAGCTCTAACTGGGTCCAGGCTCAATCCATGGAGTAAGCCCAAATTAGCTAGATAACGGGTCAAACCCAACTCATGACCTTAGCCTAATCTAGAGTTCAAGAGACACAGAAGATCAACGCACATGTAAGGAGTAAACGTCGAGATAATTACACGAAAATCAAGATTATCTTTAATTGTATCTATCATTAGCTCTAGTTATCTTCCCCGAAGGAGNGATAACGGGTCAAACCCAACTCATGACCTTAGCCTAATCTAGAGTTCAAGAGACACAAAAGATCAACGCACATGTAAGGAGTAAACGTCGAGATAATTATACGAAAATCAAGATTATCTTTAATTGTATCTATCATTAGCTCTAGTTATCTTCCCCGAAGGACTAGTCACCTATCCTTTCACACCACCGCTTCAACTAAGATTTTGTGCCTATAAATTGCAAACTTATACACATAAGAGACACACCTCTACATCCCACACACAACTATCTCTCTCATAGCTACCTCACCATACTTAGAGCATATCCTTGCTCTCTCTCCCACCTATTACTTTATCATCTACTACNACACATAAGAGACACACCTCTACATCCCACACACAACTATCTCTCTCATAGCTACCTGACCATACTTAGAGCATATCCTTGCTCTCTCTCCCACCTATTACTTTATCACCTACTATTTTATCAATAAAATCCTTTGGCCACCGTTGCTGCCTTCAAAGTGGAGTAGGTCACCCTTATCGAATCACTCTATATCTGTGTGTTGTCTGTGTTGATCTCACCTTTATAGTTACTGTATTTATTGTCCATATTAGTTACTCGACTGTTGATTGTGCATAAATTTACTTTTATCCATCATCATGTATAAATCATAATGAACTAGACAAGTCCAACGAACCCAAAATAATGGAACACGAATATATTTTTCTCCCTATTTCATGACTAAAAACAGTCCAAGTCATTCTCAATATCAGACTACCAACTTTTTTTAGTAGAGTGAAAAAGACTATAAAGCAAGGATCCCTCCAATTTTGAAAATTGTGGAACTAAAACAACATACCCGATAAGAATTTTGTGAATTAAACACACCATCTAGTCCTATCAAATAGTGTAAACAATCAGTCAAAATTTATTTATTCCTAATATACTGATGTCGCTTGTTAGTTTGTTAGAAAATTTAAGTAAAAAATAACTTGTGTGTCGCGCATGACAATTCCTCGTTGAGTGTGTATACTGTTGGAAGGTTGTGATTCTTTCCTTTTGTTGTGATTCCTGCCTTTCCTAGTGCCAATGTAAATGTACAGTAGGGGTGGGTAGGTTCATTAGACACATAGCTTGATTATAGGAATGCATTACTCCAGTGTAACTTGATTGTTGGAACAGAGGCTTAAATGTGGGAACGATAGCTTGATTATAGGATCGGTATTATTGATCCATTGCTATATATGTACATGTACATCTCCATTGAGAAATAAGATAAGAAAAATATTCTTCCCAATATTTGATTTCAAGTTGGTATTAGAGCCTCCGAAAGGTCCTGTTTCTTTCCTGATCGAACGCCACCATGAGCAAGTCAGACTCTGAAGCATCTGGTAACAAACTTGCTCCCATTATTATTCAATCCGAAGGTTCCTCTTTCAATGCAGGGATTTTACTCAATGAGACAATCTATGATATGTGGTCTCAAATCATAGAAATGCATATTGCTGAGAAGGAGAAACTCTCCTTCATTCATGGGAATTCAAAGATATCTACAGAGAAAGATGATGGATATGAGAGGTGGTATGCGGATAATCAAAAGGTCAAGAGATGGTTGTTGATGTCTATGTCCCCAGAAATTATGAAGCGATATCTTCGCTTACCCACGGCTCGTGATATTTGGAAAGCTCTCTCTAAAGCCTTTTATGATGGAACAGATGAGTTACAAGTCTTTGCCTTGAATCAGAAAGCTTTCTCTGCCAAACAAAGGGGGCAGAACACTTTTTGTGTATTATGGAGAATTGACCAAAATTTTTAGTGAGTTGGATCATCGTGATAAGGTGATCATGGAGAGTGAGAAAGATGTTGAATCTTATCGAAAACTAGTCCAGCTGCAAAGGGTGCATATCTTTCTTGCTGGATTAGATGGTGACTTCGAACAAATCCGTGGTGAAATTTTAAGGAAGGAACCAATTCCTAAACTAGAAGAATGTTACGTGCTGATCCGCCATGAGTCCATTCGACANAAAACAGTCCAAGTCATTCTCAATATCAGACTACCAACTTTTTTTAGTAGAGTGAAAAAGACTATAAAGCAAGGATCCCTCCAATTTTGAAAATTGTGGAACTAAAACAACATACCCGATAAGAATTTTGTGAATTAAACACACCATCTAGTCCTATCAAATAGTGTAAACAATCAGTCAAAATTTATTTATTCCTAATATACTGATGTCGCTTGTTAGTTTGTTAGAAAATTTAAGTAAAAAATAACTTGTGTGTCGCGCATGACAATTCCTCGTTGAGTGTGTATACTGTTGGAAGGTTGTGATTCTTTCCTTTTGTTGTGATTCCTGCCTTTCCTAGTGCCAATGTAAATGTACAGTAGGGGTGGGTAGGTTCATTAGACACATAGCTTGATTATAGGAATGCATTACTCCAGTGTAACTTGATTGTTGGAACAGAGGCTTAAATGTAGGAAAGATAGCTTGATTATAGGATCGGTATTATTGATCCATTGCTATATATGTACATGTACATCTCCATTGAGAAATAAGATAAGAAAAATATTCTTCCCAATATTTGATTTCAAGTTGGTATTAGAGCCTCCGACAGGTCCTGTTTCTTTCCTGATCGAACGCCACCATGAGCAAGTCAGACTCTGAAGCATCTGGTAACAAACTTGCTCCCATTATTATTCAATCCGAAGGTTCCTCTTTCAATGCAGGGATTTTACTCAATGAGACAATCTATGATATGTGGTCTCAAATCATAGAAATGCATATTGCTGAGAAGGAGAAACTCTCCTTCATTCATGGGAATTCAAAGATATCTACAGAGAAAGATGATGGATATGAGAGGTGGTATGCGGATAATCAAAAGGTCAAGAGATGGTTGTTGATGTCTATGTCCCCAGAAATTATGAAGCGATATCTTCGCTTACCCACGGCTCGTGATATTTGGAAAGCTCTCTCTAAAGCCTTTTATGATGGAACAGATGAGTTACAAGTCTTTGCCTTGAATCAGAAAGCTTTCTCTGCCAAACAAAGGGGCAGAACACTTTTTGTGTATTATGGAGAATTGACCAAAATTTTTAGTGAGTTGGATCATCGTGATAAGGTGATCATGGAGAGTGAGAAAGATGTTGAATCTTATCGAAAACTAGTCCAGCTGCAAAGGGTGCATATCTTTCTTGCTGGATTAGATGGTGACTTCGAACAAATCCGTGGTGAAATTTTAAGGAAGGAACCAATTCCTAAACTAGAAGAATGTTACGTGCTGATCCGCCATGAGTCCATTCGACATATAATGATGAATGGAGAACCTGAAAACTTTGAAGCTTCACCCATGGTGGCCCAAAACTGGTCCTTCAAAAATCAGCAGGAGAAAACAAGGTCTAGCCATCAGAAGAATGGTGCAGCAAAATCTGCCTACAAATGCACTCACTGTGATCAAACTGGTTATACCAAAAGCAAATGCTTTGAACTTGTGGGGTATCCAGAATGGTGGGATCATAGCCGCGATCTGTGAAAGAGGAATTCCGAGAAGTCCTCTACCTCTGCAGTTGTTGAAACACAGGCAGAGGATGATATTGCTGGGAAGGCCTCGGCATTGGCAGTAGCTGCAGATGATGGTGGTAAGGTTTTAAATATTTCTACACCTGTTTCTAATAATGCATGGATAATTGATTTAGGTGCTACCGATCATATGACATTTGATTCTAGTTACCCCTGTTAGTGGGGAAGGATCATTGCTCCCTCACTGATACTTTGAGTTTAGATTCTGTTTTAGTTGTTCCATCTTTAAACTACAATCTGTTGTCAGTCTCCCAAATAACCACTGCCTTATTTTGTGTTGTCATTTTTTGGCCTGATTCTTGTGTGTTTAAAGGACATTCGAACAAAGCAGACGATTGGTTGTGGTATTAGGCAAGGGAAGTTATACTATCTTGACTTGACATCAAATAGTTCGAACAAGTTGCGTCGAGCTTTGGCAGTAGATTGTTCTAAGGGGGAGAAGAAAACATCTGACATCTGGTTATGGAATCGATGTTTGGGACATGTCTCTTTTGGTTACTTGCAAAAATTATTTCCTAATTTATTTGCAAAATGTGATATTTCGAGTTTTAAGTGTGATGTTTGTGAACTTGCAGAGAGCCATCGTGTTTCATTTCCATTAAGATTGAATAAAAGCTCAGTTCCTTTTATGGTCATACATTCTAATGTTTGGGGGTCCATCTAATGTTCCTACATTTAGTGGATCTCGTTGGTTTGTTACTTTTATTGATGACTGTAGAAGGGTAACTTGGGTGTGTTTGATGAAGTCCAAAGGCAAAGTGAACTTATTATTTCAATAATTTCATAAAATGATTTGTACTCAATATAATGCACAAACTCAGGTTCTTTGCAGTGACAATGGCGGAGAATACATGAAATCTGAATTTCAGCAGTACTTGACAGCCCATGGAATTATTCACCAAACTACTTGTTCCAATACACCCCGACAGAATGGGGTAGCTGAGCAGAAAAATCGCCACTTGCTGGAGGTTGTTCGTGCTTCGTTAATAGAAGCTCATATGTCGTTATCCTATTGGGGGGAAGCTCTTACATCTGCAGCTTATTTAATCAACCGGGTACCCTCTTGCACTATTGCTTTCCAAACGCCATCCCAAGCCCTCGTTGAAGCTGTTGTTTCTCCAGCCACCCCAAATTTACCTCTTCATGTTTTTGGGTGTGTTGCATTCGTACACCTACACAAGCATCAACGCAACAAGTTGCAACCTCGGGCATTGAGATGTGTCTTTCTTGGATACACTACTCATCAAAAGGGGTACCGATGCTATCATCCTCCAACTCAATGAATGCTTGTCACACTGGATGTAGTTTTTCATGAAGACTCAATGTATTTTTCTTCTAAGTCTGAACTTCAGAGGGAGTACCAGGACGATGTTCAGACTCTAGACTATGATGTTCGCATTTCTACAGAATTTCCACCAATTAAGCAGGATGTGAGTACAATGGATACAAGTGGTGATAATGACTCACAAACTAGTAACCAAGATTTGGGAATCGTGGATGCAAGTGGTATAAATTTGGATGCTAGTGGTGATGATGATCCACAAACTTGGCCGATCTATCAAAACGAAAGTGAAAGTGATATACCAAACCAATCGCTTGCTGAGGATGCTCCTGCAACTGTGCCTATTAGAACACTACCACAGCGTCAAACTAGGGGTATTCCTAAACCCACATATGAGCCTGAACTTTCGAGTAAAGTCAAATATCCCATGAGTCATTATGTGTCTAACCATCGTTTGACTAAATCAAATATGTCATTTGTAAATCAATTATCTACTGTATCTATTCCTAACAGTGTGTAGGAAGCTTTAGTCGATACAAGATGGAGAGCAGCCATGAATGAGGAGATAAAATCATTTTCAAAAAAATAAAACATGGGAACTTGTTAATTGTCCACCTAGAAAGAAATCAGTTGGGTGTCGGTGGATCTTCACTGTGAAGTATAAAGCAGATGGTACAATTGAACGCTTTAAAGCAAGACTGGTGGCAAAAGGATACACTCAAACCTATGAGATTGATTATATAAAGAAATTTGCCCTTTTAGCTAAAATCAACACAATTCGGGTCTTGTTGTCCTTAGCTGTGAACTTGAATTGGCTATTACAGCAGTTTGATGTGAAGAATGTCTTTCTACATTGCGAGTTGTCCGAAGAAGTCTACATGGATCTCTCACCTGGATGCATGATACCAGAAATATATAGTCAGAAGGTGTGCAGCTTAAAGAAATCATTGTATGGATTGAAATAACTCCAAGAGCATAGTTTGGAAGGTTCACAAAATCTACGAGAGCCTTTGGCTACCATTAAAGCAATTCAGATCACACTTTATTCCTGAAGAAACAACATGATAAGATCATGGCACTCATTGTATATGCAGATGACATGGTGGTTACAGGAAATGATCCTGAGGAAAGGAAGAATTTACAGAGTTACTTGTCCAGAGAATTTGAAATAAAAAATCTTGGCCCCTTGAAATATTTTCTTGGAATCGAAGTATCTAGATCTGAAAAAAGTATCTTTCTTTCTCAAAGAAAATATACCTAAGATTTGTTACAAGAGACTGGTATGTCAGCATGTCAACCAGCTGATACACCAGTGGAAGAAGGTTTAAAATTATGTGTGATTCTAATCAGGTATCAGTTGATAAAGGAAAGTACCAAAGACTTGTAGGAAGATTGATGTACTTAGCACACACGAGATCAGACCTTGCCTATGCATTGAGTATTGTCAGTCAGTTCATGCATAATCCTGGAGAGCAACATATGAATGCAGTTATGCGTATTTGAGGTATTTGAAGGCTGCTCTTGAAAAAGGAATATTATTCACTAAAAACGCAGATTGTCAAAGTATAGATACATATACTAATGCTCATTGGGCTGGAGCAATAGATGACAGACGATCTACTTCATGGTATTTTACCTTTGGAGGTGGCAACCTTATTACACGGAGAAGCAAAAAACAAAATGTCGTTGCACGCTCAAGTGCAGAAGCTGAATTTAGAGGTATGGCTCTTGGCGTTTGTGATGCATTATGGCTAAGACTTCTCTTAAGCGATTTGGGTTGTCTTCCTAGGCAACCAATTCAATTATATTGTGACAATAAAGCAACATGTGATATTGCCCATAATCCAGTTCAACATGATCGTACAAAGCATGTGGAGATAGACATATTCTTCATCAAGGAAAAGTTGGATGAGAAAATTGTGGAGTTGCCTAAGATTCGATTCGAGGATCAATTGGCCGATATCCTCACCAAAACAGTTTCAAATCGAGTGTTCTCAAAGTTCTGGGACAAGTTGGGCATCTTTGATATCTATACACCAATTTGAGGGGGAGTGTTGGAATGTTGTGATTCTTTCCTTCTATTGTGATTCTTGCCTTTCCTAGTGCCAATGTAAATGTACAGTAGGCGTGGGTAGGTTTAGTAGACACATAGCGTAATTTTAGGAATGCATTACTCCAGTGTAACTTGATTGTTGGAACAGAGGCTTCAATGTAGGAACGATAGCTTGATTGTAGGGTCGGTATTATTGATCCATTGCTATATATGTACATGTACATCTCCATTAAGAAATAAGATAAGAAAAATATTCTTCCCAATATTTGATTTCAAGTTGGTATCCAATAGTATGTTTCAACTCGTCTATAAATTTCTCTAACCTACCTATTAACCCTTGTAGACCAGGACTTCCATAGCTTATATTTAGAGGCATCGGAACTTTAAAGAGCCCCAATCCATGAGAGGTAGAAAAATAACACTCTAGGGTCCCATTGGTAGCCTTGACACAACCCATTTCGAGAGATTTAATTGGTTTTTTTGAGATGAAAGTGTAATTCAAAGCGTAGTAATACCTGCACCTATAATGCTAGAATGCATAGAAAATGAATAAAACCACCTAATAATTCCATGAAAAAGATAAATCATATAACAGAGTACATAGTGGTGTAGCTTAAACTAGCATAAAGGATTAGGAAATTCATCCCTTACATCAACAAGGAAACACACTTCTATACATCATGTACATAACCAGTCTCCTTAATTTGCTTTCTCCTCTACCATGTTAGTGCAGTAGCGGACCCAACTCTAGACTTTGATATTTTGAAATCAATAATTTTTTTAAGTGTACTAAACATCATAATCAAATAAATATAACAAAAATATGTATTCAATATCATTCCCCCAAAAATATATTCACAACCCTGAGAAAATCACCACCAAAGTGATCTCAACTCACTTTAGAACTCAAGTCAACATCATATATCAAAATAATAAATATTATATATGAACAATAAGTCAAACTACAACATTTAAACAATGTCAAGTTATCTACAACATTTAAGCAAAGTTTAGACTTATTAAAGAAGCTAACTAGAGGACCTTCATATGCATATCCTATCTGTCAATAAACACATCTTACAACCGAATCCCCTAGATATGCATTGCAACTGGTACGTCTTTTGCTTCTTCACTCTTCCTTCTTGAAATGCAAGAAAGAATGTGTAAACCATGTCAAGTTATGGACAACTTAGCACAATAGATAATACTCAAATCACAAGTTTTTCAACAAAACATTTGATTCATAATTTGCTAAACTCAACACAAATCAAATAATCAAAACTTCATTTCACATAGTGAAAATAACATATTTTGTATACTTTTATTTCCATTTGTTATGAAGCAATACACTTTCACCTTTAATACTGACAGGTACACCACTTTGATTAACAATCGATTCCCAGGTGTAACTGAGATAGTAGTCTTTGACCCTAGCAATTAACATATATACAAATACAAGCAAGTATCGACTCTTGAAATAACTCTATTGGTGTACATGGATGCAAATGAGTATGCCTCATGGTACTTCGTATTCATTACAAGTTAATCTTCCCAAAGAAACTTCAAAGTATTTTACGAATCCTCACATTCTATCAATCATCGCCTTAAACACTTCAAAGATAAATAATACAAGAACGTTTGGTTGTAGAACAATAAAAAATAACTTGTAACTCTTGATAAAATAGCTAGACAACTAATCACTTTTAAATGGTCAATTCATTGGTGTTATTGTCTCGACGGACAACTAGCGGATTTTAGGATAACTAAATAGTTTGCATTAACTTAATTCACTTGTTAAATTTTTATTTCATATCACACTCAACTCAATTTAATTCAAACCAATTTCTTCTAAATTTCCTCTTTTGAGTATTTTCTCAAACATTTGAAAAGCGTTAAAGTAACATTTGAACCCATCGTGTGACTTTACTAAAAATCAAACTCTTTCATGACTAAATCAACATGAACCCAAATTAGTAGTAAAGTAGACTTTCTATACTTTCTAACCATAGATCGTGGCCTCTAATCGTCGTCCGATTGACCATGTTTCGACTAATTTTACCTACGATATCAAATCTTGAAGAATGCTTATCAGTCCAAAAATTTCAGTCTTGTTTAGATTAAAAGTTGTATTTCTGCAAGTAGAATTTGGTAGTCTATCATATACCATTAGAACGGTTTTTGAGTCTAGTTATCACCATTTTTGTGCAGTTTATCCAACAGAAACGGGATTATTATTACCATCTATGTTTTTTTACCCATGAACCAAAACTCACTTCAATCTACTCCAAAATCAATCAAAAACACTCATAGCAATATGTCATAATCTTTCAATCATCCAAAACAAGTTTGGACATTAATGTAGACAATTTGATTAAGCCCTTTCAACAATTAAACCATAATTTCAGTTTGTAGATTTAAATAATTTCATCAACCAAGAATGAAATTTTATTTCTTTTCTTGATGAAAATGCCATCGAACACACTCCTATTCATCCAGATATTTCACCAAGACATGCAAATACTTAAATTAAATTTCTAAATCTTAAGGAACTATTCTACAAGCAATCCAATAAACTAAGTATAACAAGATAAAATAGACTATAATCAACACAAGCCCTTACTAGATGCATACAACCATGACATTCAATCTTTTAAAAAAAATTTGATTTTTAGATCTTAATAATCAATTTCAACAACTAAAGTAGTGCTTACTTCTCCAAAAGATTTTTAATCCAACTAATAGAATTTTAAACCCCAAATTTCATCAAACCTACAAGAAAAACTAGAAGAAATGTGAACTTCTATTGCTCCTGAAGTGATAACCGAGAGAGAGAGAGAATGTGTGGAAGATGGAGGACGTATGCCAAAAGATGTCTCCTTTGTAATATGCTACTCTAGTCATAAAAGGCTTTAATGCCAAAATATAATTTTGACCCCATTATTTATGATTATTTTTATTATCTTATCTCTTTTATTTTTTAACTTCAATTGAATTCCCCTTTCGTCATTAGTTCTATTTAAATGCAATGTCATTCATGCTTGGGTCTCACAAGCATCGTCTTAGCTAAGAGATTTTTTCACAACGAATTTAACTACTTCACCAAAATGTATTCTTTTAGTATCATACATCTATTTTTTATCAGTATTCTATGCTTTTGTTTTTAGTTCAATAATTAGAGGTATTCAAGTCAACTTGCGTGTATTTTGATTAATTTTTTTTTTGATCTGATTAAAGATAAGTCATCCATGCCGAAATTAGAGTACTTATGAAAAACAAATTTATCT